ATATCTGCCTAAAATATTCATGCAGTTTTATAGCTGTAAACCCTGTGAAGATGGAGATATATGCAATTAAAGATGGTAGTATCAAAATTGGACTTTGGGGGGAGGGGTGTTATAAATGGGTGTGGCTCGCCCAAGCAGGGTCTTATCTGAATTCTACATATATCTGTGGCAAGCCAAATGATTGTTTTCAATGTTTGTAAGGTCTAATATTTTTTAGTTTTCTCCATTTTTGTTTAATTTACACAAAATATATCATTATTTTTCCAAGGTAAAAATGGAGTCTCAAAGAGGCTACATAAGCCATGACTTATAATAGGCTATAATTCTCTGAAGAAAGGATATTTTTGGGATTCCTTCCTCACTCATGAATAACTTCCTAATATGCCTCCATACAACAAATTTGGTTGAAATCCGCTGACCCCCACCTTGCCACCCTGGGCTGGTTCTCTCGTGGACAAGCTCTTAAGGCACCTTTTACTTTCATAAAAAGATAATAAAACCATCCAAAGCACTAATTTAGGAAGCCGATAGATACACCTAATGCTACATTTTAATTGCCAACTGACTACTGGTATATCTGTTACATGTACATTGTATTATTTTGTCTATTCAAATATTTATCCCTGTTTTGTTTCTTCTAACAGGTTTGTCATTTATGTAAATGGCCAAGACATTGTAACAGATGTAACAGCAAATGACGACCAATGGCATCACATATGTGTCACATGGTCCAGTGCCAATGGGGAATGGCAGATCTTTAGAGATGGAAGAAGTCTTGACCAGGGTCAGGGACTTGCACCTGGAACAGTTATAAAAGGTTAAAGGCTTATATTTAATATATATATTTATATATAATTTATATATAAATTTTATAAGTATGAATTTTGTAAAGGAGAGCATTTAACACATATGATTTTTCTTTTAGATCTTGCATTAAACCTATTCACAACTCAACAGAATGTTGTACATTACCATACCTTGTACTTGTCTGAAGTAAGTGAGAAAAAAATATTTTTGATATAGGAGGGGGCAAGCTTGTCCTCGGGCAGGAACAAGATGCATTTGGTGGAGGGTTTAGTGCTCTTGAATCATTTGTTGGAAGCATGACCCAGCTACACATATGGGACAAGGTGTTTACTGATTCTGAAATCCAAGGATTAATTCTGACCTGTGAGCCATATATAGGAAATGTCAAGAGTTGGCCAGACTTCCTCTCTGGTCTCAGGGGGAAAGTACAAAAAACAAATTCTTCATTCTGCAAAGGTAAGAAGCTCTTGTAGGTATAACCTTTTTTTTTTCAAATTTATTCTTGCATGGGTCTAGATTTTAGGTGATACATGTACATGTTTATATGTGGATAATAATATGTTCTTTTTTACAAAAAAGACATGTTAAAAATATTTAAATGTTAGATAAAATAATAGGCATATAGTTAAGGGAATATTTTATTTCATTTTTGTGATGTAAAGCTCTACATCTAACCAACATTGTCAACACATCACTTCTTACACAGACTGTGAAATCCCACCCTTCATACCAAATGGCAGTGTAGAGTGGACAGGTACTGCTACATTCTCTAGCGCCACCTACAGTTGTGATGTTGGGTATGAGCTGAAAGGGACAGGGACCAGGAGGTGCCAGGTGTACTCAGAGTGGGATGGTGAAGCTCCCAGGTGTGAAAGTAGGTCTCCAGAATAAGTGGATAAAATATGTCACATCTGATTTTAAAAAGCAAAGGCATACATTATACCAGTAATTCCTTATTGACATAAAAAGCTTAATTTAAATTTAACAGGCTCTAAAATATATGCCCAAAATGACTAAAAATGTAATGTCACATGTAAAATTTTGTTCAGTCTCCATAATTCAGTTTGATTGGGACATGGCTATTTTCACGTGTGATATATTTTTCAGAATGGAGTCAGTTTTCTATAAATCTTTTGAGTTTGGTTTGCAACAGAATATTTTAAAATGAATTTAAGCTATTCAAAGATTTGGCTTTTATAGGAGTTTATAGAAACCTGTAGAAAATTTTTTAATCTTTGACATTTTCATGTTTATTTTAATACGACATACAAGTTAAAGTATAAATGGTAAAATAACACTGTATCTGGTAAACATTTCAGAAGTGAGCTGTGGTTTCCCTGGTATGATACCAAATGGTTATATAGCAGGTAGTTGGTACACCTATGGCAACTTTGCCCAGTACGTATGTGTACATCGTTACAAGTTGGTAGGAAATGCAACCATCTACTGCAATGAACATGGTGTTTGGGAAGGAAATCAGCCCATATGTGAATGTAAGGAACACTGCTTATGCACTTACATCTCTGCTTTATATTTAGTTTTCTGCCTTAATTTACCTTTGCTGTGTGGCATCATGAAGATTTTAAATTTTAAGGGCACTCATCCACATTTATGCTTATGATTTGTTATTCAGATCACAGAATTAAAATCTTTATGGCAATCTTTATAGTACAACCAATTTTATCTCATTATAAGTATTCATTCATAATAGTAATAAAAGTCATAAATATTTTCTTTTTTTACAGTGGTTTTATGTAAACTTCCAAAAATACCAGACATGGTGGAGGCACTAGAGAGAAAAGAAGAGTACAGGCCAGGAGATGTTGCCAGGTTCTATTGCAATCCAGGGTATATGTTAAAGGGCCCAACCTCAGTCCACTGTGATGATGATGGATCTTGGGATGTAGAACTGCCATCATGTGTCAGTGTGAAATGTGACCTGCCTCCGCGTTTGGACAATGGGATAATCTTCAATGTTTCAAGTCAAGATTTTTCCATGGGCACCATTGTGACTTATAGATGTGAGGTTGGCTACAGTCTCATTGGGAAAAGTAAAATCAAGTGTAATTTCAAGGGGAAGTGGGACAAAGATCCCCCATCTTGTACTATTGTGAAATGTAGGAAGCCACCAAGTCTACAATTTGGGAGAGTGGAGGGGAAGTCCTTTGTATTTGGTTCCAAAGTCACGTATCATTGTGACACTGGTTACAAGCTCATTGGCCGCCAGACTCTCAAGTGCAATGCAGATGGTCAGTGGGGTGGCTCATCCCCTATATGTGATCCAGTATACTGTGATGTTCCACAACAAATACAAAATGGCTTTGTGCATGCCACAAGTTATGCATATAATGCAACTGTGCATTATACTTGCAGGACAGGACATATGTTGTTTGGTAATAAAATGCAAGTGTGTCTCAGAAATGGCTCTTGGTCAGGTTCAATACCAGTTTGTGAGCCCATACCATGTTTGCCACCTAGTCCAGTTGCCAACGCAAAGATAATAGGGGAGGACTTTACATTTGGAAGCACAGTTACCTATGAATGCCAAGAGGGTTACATATTGGAGGGAATTCCAGAACGTGTCTGCAGAGAGGATGCAACATGGCATAATCCTCAGCCATCTTGCAAGAGGGTGCAATGCAAAGTTCCAGACATAGCTCATGGAATTCTAAGCAAAAGTGTGCTCTACTATCAAGATGAGTTACTTCTCAACTGTAAATTAGGCTTTGAATTGTCACATAATGAAACAGTCACCTGTCTTGCTAATGGCACATGGAGTTCTTTGACACCCACTTGTGAGCCAATTACATGTCACAGGCCACACAGTATCCTCTATGGCATTGTATTTGTGTCCAGTACCTCTTATGGTGCTGTGGCAAATTATACTTGCAATCCAGGATTTGAGCTCCACGGAGACTCAACTCGTCTTTGCTTGACCAACAGGAAATGGAGTGGCACAGAACCTGCTTGCACAATTATTAAATGCCCTCACCCAGAGGATATTGATTATGGAGAAGTAAAATATGCCAACTTGTCATTTGGATTGAAAGCTCATTACTCTTGCAGTGCAGGATACGAATTGGTTGGTAAATCATCAAGGACATGCCAGGCTAACAAGACTTGGAGTGGCAAAGCTCCAAATTGTGTTCAGGTGTACTGTCCAAGACCACCAAGCATCCAATATGGAAATTATAAATTGGATGATACTGTGTATGGGTCCATAGCTCAATATGAATGTTTTTATGGATTTGTTCTTAAGGGTGACGTAAATAGAACTTGTGAGCAGGACAAAACTTGGTCTGGCTCTGAGCCAATATGTTTTCCTAAACAATGTAAGAGTCTTCCATCAGCTATCCTTAATGGAAAAGTTATAGGAACTAACTATACATTCAATGCAACTGTCACTTTTGAATGTGACACTGGATATATGCTCATTGGTTCAAAATTTCTAGCATGTTTAGGAGATGGCACGTGGGATTTTGCTGTGCCAGTCTGCATTCCAATATTCTGTCCAGACCTGCCATCTTTTGCCAATGGTAAAGTTGATGGAAAAGACACCATAGTGTTTAGTTCTGTGTCCTATACTTGTGATAAAGGTTACAAATTGATGGGTCCATCTCAGCGGAATTGTTTGGAAAATGGCACATGGAGTAAAGTTGACCCAATTTGTGAGCCTGTAGATTGTGGACATCCAGAAAATATACTCAATGGCAGAGTGATTGTCAGTGGTACAAAATTCCACGATTTTATAGAATATGAATGCAACATTGGTTACACTCTTGTTGGTGTTCGCTCCAGACTTTGCTCTGCTAGTGGAGTTTGGGAGAATGTGCCTCCAGCATGTAATATCATCAGCTGCGGACAGCCAACTCAAATTCAGAATGGAAAGTTGCATTACAACCATACAACATATGGCTCATTTTTAACTTATACATGCACCAAAGGTTATCAGCTTGTTGGGCATAAAACAAGAATTTGCAATGAACATGGAAGATGGTCAAGTGAAGAACCAGTTTGTAAAATTACAACTTGCAAGGAGCCTGAATATGTAAGAAATTCAGATTACGTAGTCACTGGAACTACTTTTGGTGCTACAGTGACATATTCCTGCATGGAAGGCTATGTGCTAGTCGGAAATAAACACCGTACATGTAGTTTCAATGGAAAATGGGTCCCAAATGCTCCAGAGTGTGAAATTATCTCATGTCCTGAATTAAGCCCCATTGAAAATGGATACGCAGAAGGTGCACAATACACATTTAGTAGCAGGGTTGCTTATCATTGTCATCCTGGTTATGAATTAATTGGAAGTCGCAGCATTATTTGTTTGTCTAATGCAACATGGTCTGCCCCATCACCAATGTGCCAACGGATAATGTGCTCATATCCACCAGAGCTAAAACATGGAGAAATGACAGGGGATCATGGGTATGGTGGTCATATGCTCTATAAATGTAACTCTGGCTACAGGCTTGTTGGTGATTACAGACGGGAATGTTTAGCAGATGGCACATGGAGTGTAACGGCACCTATATGTGAACCTCTAAAGTGCTCAAAACCAACCATTCCAGATGGATATGTAAATGGACAAAACTTTATCTTAGGATCCATAATTCAGTATGGTTGTAATACTAACTTTGAATTGATTGGAAATGATACCAGAGAATGCTTAGAAAATCAAACCTGGAGTGGAGTTGCGCCATTCTGTGAAGTGATCAGATGCAGTGTGCCTAAGGCTGTGGCAAATGGAATGATAATGTTGAATGGATACAAAGTGGGAGAAGTTGCTGAATATAAATGTAACAATGGATATGAAATAATTGGCAGCGCTAAAAGGACCTGTCAAAATGATAAAACCTGGAGTGGTTCTGATCCATCTTGTGGCAAAATATTTTGTCCTCATCCAGAGCAAATAGAAAATGGCATTTTTAGTACTCAAAGCACTGCAAAGGACTTCCCCTATGATATTTTGATAGAATATTCATGTCTCAGAGGATACTACATTATTGGTGTATCACAACATCGTTGCCTTGCTAATAAAACATGGAGTGGAGACTTACCTTACTGTCAGCCTATTGACTGTGAGCAACCTCCCATTGATAGTCACTTGCAAGTATCTGTGGAGAGTACCACTTACAAAAGTACAGCAAATTACTCTTGTGATGATGGATATATTTTAATTGGAAATGCGACACAAACCTGTATGGATAACAAAACATGGAGTGGTGACATCCCTAGATGTGATATTGTAACTTGCCCAACACCCAGCCACATAACCAATGGAAAGGTCTCTGGCAACTTATTTTTATATGGAGAACAGCTACAGTATGAATGTGACATTGGATATGAACTGTTTGGCTCATCGTCACTAACTTGCTTGAGCAATGGACAGTGGAGTGACCAGTACCCCACATGTTTAAAGGTCTCTTGTACGGTCCCTGTTGCTTCAAAAAGAAGTGTATTGTTGGCAAATACCTCTACGCTGTTTTATGGTGATTCCATTACCTATTCATGTGTAGAGGGATTCAGTATTCATGGTGATAGCACAAGGAAATGCAAAGAAAATGGGCAATGGAGTGGAACTGAACCAAAATGTGAAATTGTTAAATGTGGAAAACCACTTCATGTGTCACATGGAGGACATAATGGAAGCCATTTCAGCTACAGTGAGATAATTGAGTTTTACTGTGATAAGGGTTATGAGATGGTTGGTTCACCAATTGCCCACTGTCTGTCCAATGGGAAGTGGAGCAGTATGTCACCCGTGTGTGTAATGGTGACATGCCCAATGCCAAATGAAATTGAAAATGGTGAATTATTGTTCAGTTCCAACATGTATGGTGGAACAGTTGAATACATGTGCCATGAAGGTTTTGAGTTGATTGGAAACAAAAGTCATGCGTGCCAGGCTGATAAAACATGGAGTGGCAACATCCCGTATTGTGAACAAATTATGTGCCCACACCCAGAGGACCCGCCTAATGGGCATGTTATTACAAGTGATCTTTCATATGGTCAAGTAGTTGGATATGCTTGCAATCCTGGATTTGAGTTGAATGGTGTAAGAATGAGACAGTGTGTTGGTAATGGTATTTGGAGTGAAGAAGCTCCTAACTGTACCATCATTTCCTGCCCACCTCTAACAAAAATTAGTCACGGAACAATTCAAGGAAATAAAACACATTTTGGGTCCAGTGTCTCATATAGCTGTGAAATGGGATTTGAAATTTCAGGGCCTTCTGTAAGGTCATGCACAGAGCATGGAACATGGAGTGATAAAACACCAAAATGCATTCCGATAAAGTGCCAAGAGCCTGGTCTGTTAGCTAATGGCAAAATCTATGGTAACAATTTTACATATGGTGAAGTTATCAAGTTCAGATGCCAAACAGGATATACTTTAAAGGGACCAAGCAGCAGTCAGTGCAAGGTAAATAAGCAATGGAGTGGGAAAACACCTATATGTACAGTAGATGTCTGTGAGACACCGACTAAAATTCCTCATGGAAAAATTATTGGGGACAATTTCACATTTAGTGCTACCATTGCCTTTATTTGTGATCCCGGATACAGATTGGAAGGATCATCTGTTAGGCAATGCATAGCAAAAGGAAAATGGAGTGGAAAGACACCATCCTGTAGGCCCATTGCTTGCATCCCACCACCAAGCTTAGACAATGGATATATTATTGGAGAGAACTTCACATATGGCCAAGTTGTGCAGTATGTCTGTAATTCAGGATATAACCTGCATGGCCCCTCAGAGAAACAATGCCAAGAGGATAGAACATGGACTGGAGGAACACCTTCATGTTCTCTTGTAACCTGCAGTGTGCCTTTGCCAATACCACATGGTAATATACTTGGAGAAAAGTATTATTTTAATGAAACCATTGAATATAGATGTGCTAAAGGATATGAACTGAAAGGATCACCTTTCAGAAGGTGTCTTACTGATGGTAACTGGTCTGGAAATGAACCAAAATGTTCTCCAGTTTCCTGTGGAATACCAGATCCTGTGCCAAATGGATATTTCAATGGTACAGAATACACCTTTCATAAAGTTGTACATTACAGTTGTTTAACTGGGTATAAACTTGCTGGTGTACCTGAAAGGACCTGTCTGCCAAACAAACAGTGGTCTGGTGAAAACCCAACTTGTACAATTGTCTCCTGTCCAAAGCCAGCAGACCTCCAGAATGGGGTATTGTTTGGAGAGGAATATGTGTTTGGAAGTGCTATTAGTTATATGTGTGAAAAGGGTTACAAACTTGAAGGTTCTCATATAATGTACTGTCAACAGGATGGCACATGGACTGGAAGTAGTCCTGTTTGTACTTTAGTAACTTGCCCTGTCCCAGAAGCCCTGAACAATGGCTTGGTGTTCACAAAAAACTACTCATATAAAAGCATTTTGATGTACAAATGCAACCAAGGTTTCGAATTAATAGGCTCTAAACAAAGACATTGTTTAGAAAATGGAACCTGGAGTTTTGAAAAGCCTTATTGTAAGAAAGTGACTTGCAATCACCCTTCAGAATTAGCTCACGGTAATGTTTTCGTCTATGATTACAGTTATGAATCTGTAATTGAATACAGATGTGATTATGGATATGAAATAAAAGGAAACATACTTCGCACATGTCAGGCTGATAAAACTTGGAGTGGAAATACTCCAAAATGTGAACTACTTGTTTGTCCCACACCTCCTGTCATAGCAAATGCAATTGTTGTTGGAGAAAATTTTAGCTTTGCTGAGTCTATCACTTACGTATGCAATAAAGGATTTGAGCTGCGTGGACATGCAATTAGAACCTGTCAAGCTGACAAAACTTGGTCTCGTGGAGTCACACAATGCATACCTTTGACATGTCCCCAACCTCCACCATTTCGAAACGGATGGTGGGTTGCAACAGACAACAACACTGTACATTCTGTGATAAGGTTCCAGTGTAATGTTGGATACAGCCTTTCAGGTCCACATGCCATTCATTGCCTAACAAGTAAACAGTGGAGTGGAGAATTCCCAACATGTAACAAAATCACATGTGGTCCACCTGACAAAATAAAAAATGGTCTTGTAGTAGGAGCATCCTATGAATATGATGAAGTTGTGGAATACCGCTGCTTATCTGGACATTTTTTATCTGGACCTCATAAAAAGCAGTGCCAAGCTGATGGAACATGGGAGCCAAGTGGAATTCCAAAATGTGATTATATATCATGTGGTAGGCCAAGAAATGTTCAAAATGCAAAAGTGATTGGCACCTCTTATGCTTATGATGATTATGTTTTTTATCTCTGTACTGAAGGATTTGAACTTATGGGAAACAATGTATTAGAATGTGGCAGAGATGGACGTTGGAGAGGTAGACTTCCAGTTTGCAAGATGATATCCTGTGGACCTCCCCCTGTTATTGCTAATGCTTCAACCTATGTTACTCACTACACATATGGCAGTAGGGTAAGTTACTCTTGTAATAAAGGATTTCTCCTCCAAGGGGAATCGATGGCAGAATGCATGGCTAATGGAACATGGATGTTCCGCCATTCCCCAAGCTGTGTGCCTGTTAGTTGTGGGCAGCCAGACCCTCTTTATAATGGACGTGTTCATCTCACTGATACCACCTATGGCAGCATAGCAAGTTACACATGTAAAAAAGGCCATGTTTTAGTTGGATCTCAAAGAGTTACTTGTAAAGATAATGGTTTTTGGAGTCATGGGGTACCTACCTGTAAAAGAGTGGTGTGTAGACCTCCCCCTAGAGTTCTCAATGCTGATGCTGAGGGTCATGACTTTACATTTGGTGGAACTTTAAGGTATAGCTGCATACCTGGATATGAAATGGTTGGACAAAATCTTCGTATGTGCCAAGAGGATGGTTCCTGGGAAGGCGAACAACCATACTGTAAAAGTGAGGTTCATTTAATAAAATTTATATCAACATTTTAATAAGTACATTGATAGAAATTGATTTTTTTGGCAAAATAATTGTACTTCTCATGAAATCAGGATTTTAAAATGAATAAATTGTATTTTTTACCACAATTGTAACAGATCTAACTTATCTCCATTTGCAGTTTAATCTGTACCTGTCATTGATAAACTGAAATTCAAACCTTAGAGCCCTGATGTTTCTTGACAGATTTGTCATTTTATAATTATCATATCAGATTCTTTACATTTACCTCTTTAGAAAAATCTTGTGGAGGACTTTCTCCACTTAAGAATGGCCGTGTGGTGGGAAGAGGCTCTCTTTATCTTGATAGAGTTAGATTTTTCTGTGATTCTGGTCATATTTTGGTCGGCAATGAAAGTGCAATTTGCCTGGAAACAGGACAATGGAGTAGTAAAGTACCAGTTTGTTCTGGTAAGTTTTGTGTTGTACTTTAATAGTACCTTTTAAAAATGTTTGAAACATTTCAAACAGAACATGAATGTTGTAGATGCAGGGAAATAATTGAAAGTGTGTTGTAACAACAAATATCAGGTCTTAATGCATTCAACACTTTTCAAAACAAATTTTGTAGTCAAAGGATGTTCCTCTGCAGCTTTCTTAAAAATTGCTCTTTTTTATAATTTCTATACAGCTTATATTCATTTTTTGTCTTCACAATTTCAGCTGACATGTGCCCTCCACCTAGGGTTTCCCGGCAATTCCGTCCTGTCAGTGGCACCTTTGCTATTGGATCTACCGTTGGTTTGGCATGCATTTCTGGTTATGTGGCCAAAGGAGACATCACCATAACCTGTCAGAAAAATAAGCGCTGGAGCTCTCCATCAGGAACCTGTGAAAGTAAGAATTACACAGGAAGTTTTAAGATGTGGAGGGTGTTTATTTGGATCTACTGGTGTAGTCCTTTATATCTCAGGCTGAATAGGACATATTTGGGGTGAACCAAAGAAAATGGCAACAGACTTTATTATTATTTCACTGTGCATTTCTGTGAAGTCTCCAAAACATCATAGCAACAAGTCCCAAAGAATAAGGGCATGCCAAATGTAGCTAATTGGCATTAATTAATTATGGAAGTCAATTTCCATGCAGATTAATATGCACCCCCTACATGTAAGACAGTGCTTCCAGGTGCCTCAACAGGTAAAACTGGCACTTTAACACAATGGCAGCCCTACTTGTTTTTGTTGTGTTGATCAGCACATTCTGTAGTTCATGTCAAATAAGATTGATGAATACAAAATTAAGAAAGTGAAAGAAAAACTCAAATAAGATTTATATGTTACAGGGTATATAATCTTTAAATGCTTTTACAATTTTACTGGAAATATTCTGCTGTAATTGAGCTGTACAAATATGGGCCTATCATTTATATTTTTTCTAGGGGTATATTGTGGCCCCCCAAAAACAGATGAGAAAACTGTTCAGTACATTTTTGCCAGAAGGGGTGACAACTACACATACCGAGACAGAGTGGTAGTTGTGTGTAAACCAGGACTAGCACCAGGCACTCATCATTATCTTACATGTAGAGAGAACGGGAAGTGGGATGGAGTGGCAGCATGCAAAGAGGGTATGAGATGACAACATGTGTATTTTTGTGATGTTTGAGGAAAATTAAAGGCCGTAAGTGAGTTAAAGTTACAGTTTCTCAGTCACAATTTTATTTTATTTTTCAATGGAATGAATCGCATATTGTCAAAAGTTTATTGTGCACTGAATTTTGTTGGATTCTAGTCACTTGTGCCCAGAAATGTAAAAATGGAGGGACATGTGTAGGAAGAAACAAGTGTTCATGTCGGCCTGGATTTAAAGGAGAACACTGTGAACAAGGTCAGTTTTGTGCACATTAAATATATATTGATAAGTTCATATAGAGCCAACTGAAATTTGCATAAGAATAAGGAAAAATACTCTTGGAAATGTATGGTCATAAGAGTATAGTCTGATTTCTTATGTTTCTAATGTTGTCCAGTCTAAAATGATAAAATTTAAAAAATAAAAAAACAAACTCCAAAGGAAAAAGAAAGTAATACAATAGATCAATTGTTGTAACTTCACATTTCTTACTGGATGAAAAGGTTTCAATTAGCCAAAGTTTCAGTACTGGTAAAAATGAAGAGAAAAGAGTGTCCTGAAATTTTGCAGAAGTTTTACGATATATTCACTAATGACCCCCCCAAAAAAAGCCATATTTTCATGGTAAACTACCTGATTTGGGTGCTGCTGGTTTATATTTACATGGTCATTTGCCTGAAATTTTGTTGCTGTATATAGAGTATATAAAGTTGAGACATGACATGTTTTTACATTTGCATATATATTTGTTTTGCTTCAGCAATCTGTGTATTGCCCTGCATGCATGGAGGGACATGTGTGGCCCCCTATAGGTGTACATGTAAACCTGGGTATACAGGAACAAGGTGTGAGAAAGGTACTGTAGCAGTGATATGATATGATAAACCCAAAATAATTTAAATATTCAGAATAAAATTAAAACACCGAAATAGTCCAGTTTTGCAAAAAATCCAGAAAATATTTACAAATGTGTCCCATTACAGCAATCTTTTTTTTTTTTTTTTACTTCAGTTTTTAGCACTCAAAAGTGTCATTGATAAGTTTTTGACTACTAGTATACATACTAGGCAATAATAACCCAACTAAAAAAGATTCTTCATTCTAAAAATTTGCAAAAAAAAAAAAAAAAAATACTGATAGCATCTGGGTAATTGGTGTTCCATTTGGTAAATCAGATATCCCCGTTATTCTGTAAGATTGTGCTTGCTGTTGTTATTTACAAGGGCATATAAGATCTATGTTAAATTTTTCAGCCATATGTAGCCAACCCTGCGCTAATGGCGGTCAGTGTATTGAGCCAGAGATATGTCAGTGTATGCACGGGTGGATGCCACCTTACTGTGAGGAGTATAGGTAAGTACTGATGAGACTGAATGAAAGTTTGGTGTATTTAGTTGTTTTAAAATAAAAATGAAATTATAATTAAATACTGGGGCCTATGTTTAAATGAGAAATCAACACGTTTCAGTCTATTTAGCATACAATCCGACCTTTGAAGCTAACTACCCTACTTGTGGAACCAGGCCTTGGAGAACACATTGTCACTATGTAACATCAATGACAGTCCACCTTCAGTTCACCAAAAGAGCCCTTGCGATTAAGGCTTAATGTGAAGACTTCATTTCAAGCCAATGAGATTAAATTATAATTCCATTTTCTCTAACTGATGAGACAATTGGCAAAATTTCAGTGCTTTTTTTTAACGGTATATTTATTTGTAATAATTTCCACAAAACATCAGAGGTGAGAATGATGTACACACTTAAAACCTAAGAACTTTTCATAAAGTCATCATATACACCACTGGCATGAGAAAACATTCTGATGAAATGCAATATATGCCAATTCCTGGTCAGCATTTAGGTGATTGATGTGGCATACTCCATTGAGTAAGTTTCTGTGACATTTTGTACACCTTTCTTTCAGGTCCCCTTTATTTATTTCTTTCGCAAGTTTTTGACTGTGCATTGTTTTCATTTTGGTGACCCTCTCCCTTTAAGTATTAAACCACATTTTTGTTTTATCAAAAATCTGCAGATTAACTTTGACGGGCTCCTTTTAAAATCAGCATTTTTTATTGTAAATACTGTTGCAAAGTTTTTGGTCAGGTTTCTGTATTTGTCAGCTTTGCTGTCTAGTTTTGAGAATATGCTGGTAGATTTAGCAATTTATGATTTATAATTGATTCATGTACATTGTTTCTTAATTTTCAGGCATGATTGGAGGAGTCATTTTTATAGTAAAAGGAGGAAAAAAAGGCAGATTCATTGACAGGAATAAACAAGAAATATTTTGTTAAAAACACATTTTAACCATTGATGTACAGAAAAATGGCTTTATACAAATTCCAACAATTCTTGCTATCTATTTTCTGTTCCAGTTATGAGGAAATAAATTGTTACATATATTTTGGTGGTCAAGAATATCTACCAGCATAAGTGGTTTGATGCCGTCAAATGTTGTTTATATAATTTCATAAGCAGCAGAATGCTGAAGCAGCATTATGAGAAATGCAAAATCAAAATGTGTAATTTTCATCATTTTTTTTTATTTCATTGTAAAATGTTCTTAAATACATAATACATTAAAATGATTGTTCACCTCTGTTAGCATTACATTTGTAAGGTTTTACAACGGTACATACACTAAATAAACAGTAAAAACAGTTCATTGTAAATGGATAATGATGTTGCCATGTCCATCTGAAACAAATGTCTTAATTATTTCAACTGATACAGTATCTATAACATTGCAAAGTACTGAGAATTTATTAGCTCATTATGGAATTGTCACATTCAGCCTTAAGCACGAAGCAAGTTTTGATCATTCATAATGCTTAGCCTATTTAATTTCACAATCATAATCTTAACGAGAACATTTTTTATGTGACTTTAAAATGACTTGTCAATAAGTCAGCTATATTACAACTGTTTAATCAGCTGAAATCCTGTATTCTATAAATGTAATTTTACAAGTTAATAAGTAATGAAATTACAACACCTGCTCAAAATACATTTTGTGTTCATTAAAATTACAGCAATGCATGCTACTGAGTACCATTAAATACAGTTATTTAAAAATAAAGTATTTTTTAAAATGCTTTAGTAAAATATCTTGACATATGCAGTCAAGTGACGAAGGTTGTTGTCAAGTACTGGAAAGTTGCTAAACATGTCATTAAGATTTATCTTACATCATTTGTCAGGTTAAAATCTAGAAACACTCTTACAAAGGCTTCCGTATCCAACAGAAAAATATTTTGATTATTCAGCACGGTTGTGTCAGCCATGGCATGTTAAGACAGGATTGACTTTATCTTGTGATAAAAAGTGCTGGATTGGGTTCATTGTATTTTCTGCTGTTAAATTTTATATTTTGGCATTTCTATCACATTTGTCCACAGAAGGATGTGTGATCCTAGAAATTAACCATCTTTAAAAAAGAACAGGCAATTTCAAATGATCCCAATATTGATCTATTTCAGCTTTATGCAATAAATACTGAAAACATATTCACAACAAATAACAGCCAATTAGTCACTTGAAATCAAAATGAATGGTGAAAACAGTTCAGTTGTACTGTTAAATTTTCAAAAGACAATACCTGACAAACATATTCAGCTATGTTAACAAATTTGTGAAATAGCTCACCTTATCACTTCTGTTGTGTCAAAGCATGGAACACCAACCAAACATTTCAATAAAAAATGCTTCTGGTTATCACCCAGTCACTCGAGGACACACTGGTATACTTTAAGACCGAGGCCTTACTTATAAGCTGCATCTAAGTTTGAATACAATGGCCTCCATTTTGCATCAGCGCAAAAATACAGCAGAATGGATAAGCCCAAACAACACCACAGACAGAGTGTCTGATACCATTTAAGAATTGAATGATCTGTAAAATGATCTAGTCACCAGCAATGACAATATCATGGTTGACAAGGAAACTCTTTTCCTGCCATACAACCATGGGGTAGGAAAAAAATTCACGAAGTACATGCTGACATAAAACCAGTGATTGCGAAAGGCGTCGGACCACGGCCATATGCTGGCAAAATTCTGTGGGATGGAAAACCCTTATAACTCATTGGCCCACATGACTGATGGACTAAAGTCGACACCTTGCCTCATATCTGAATTTATCGTAAAGCTCTGAACACGCACTAGATATTTCGTATCAAATACATGCATGCCAGCCTGTCCATAAGACCTAGTGGACGTGGTTTTTATCCGATTGGGTGGTACAACCAGTAATGGACGTTTCTGTATCAAAACGAATGTTACTCTCTCTCTCCAGGCAGAAGATACTCGCTGCTGCTTGGAGAGTATGTGGTCATGTGACCGCAAGTATCGCCAGCGTGATGGTGATGTCAAAAATCTCCTCGTGGCTCGATGTTGTAGAAAAAAATAATGAAAAAAGACCACAAAGACCACTAACACTAACAGACAAGCATTTTTCCAAGAGTATGATAAGACAAAGAACAAACGTTTAATCCGAAAAAATGTGGCAAAGTGAATGATTTTATGAGAGATATTACACTGATAGTGACAGTGATGCAAATGACATGGACATTGAACTCTAGAATCTTGTTTGACATATTTTTGGCAACCTTACCAGCATGATTTATTTAATCATTTTTACTTCACTTACTTCCCTTACATTGAATATATATATAACTTTCAATGAAGCATCCTGTGTGAATAAAGACTATAACAGCAACAAGGACCTTTAATGAAAAGTTAGAAAAGTTGGAAGCTCCACATCACTATGACTTACATTTTAATTTAAGGCAAAAAATTGGAATAAAAATTTACAACAGATACATGGTCTTGTGTTAAAATATTAGAAATTAAGATAAGCAACCCAGATGTAAAAAGGATAAAATTTAAATGCCAGAAAGCAACCAAAATAAAGTATGTTTAAACTTCTTAATTTTTATTACATTTGGCCTGAAAATTGAAAAGCAGCGATTTAAAAAGCCAGACAATAACATTCGTCAATGGTGAAAATGTACAGCTTGATTATTTTATTGTGGGCTGGTAAAAAAAAAGGTGTGGGCTGTCAAAATTTAATTTGCTCCAGCCCACATGTCTGGTAAGTGTTCAATCTCTTTGGCAATCATTGTTAAACTAATGATGGGGGTTAAAACTTGTATCAGCACCAACAGAACAGGTACTGGAGAAGAATACAGTTTCACCAGAATGAAAGTGAACAGAAAGGCTTTAATAAGGTAGCAAGCAGTGCGAAGGTACTAGCTTCATCGTTTTTTTAATGAGAAACCTGTCACACCTCAAGTTGTTGCTAGTTCAAAAAGGACTTGGAGATGTAATTAAGTAAGATGAAAAGCCCACAATGTGGGAAAAGTTATTCAATCAAGTAGGGGAAACAATCTCATTAAGCAAGGCTAGTAGTAAAACCATGGGATTGAACCAGACACCAAAAAGTCCTCAAATACTGTATGTGAGGACATTACATAGGCAAATAGGCTTCTGGATCTGTTGAAGGTAATGTTTTGGCAGTAAAACTCATTAAAAATCTAGAGCCCTAGGAAGCTGGGCTGGAAGAGACACACGGTTGCTGATGGCACTGAAAAGAGGCCATGGTTTCCAAACCCACTCCCTCCAGCTGGAGTTAAGACCCAGTTTCCCACCCACCCCTCTGGCTAAAGAAAGGCCACAGACTTCCACCCCAGTCCCTCCAGCTGAAGAGAGGGCCACGTCCCAGTCACCCCACCCTCTTCAGCCGCACCTACTGTTGACAGGGGCAGAGGCAAGAAGGGCAAAGCTGTTGATCAGCAGCCAGAAAGGATGAAGCCCAGGAGGAATTTCACCTTCACCAAAGAAGATGATGATGCCGTCTTTGAGTGGCTGTAGGAGAAAGAGCTGCTGTGGAGAAATGGACACAGGCTTTTTAAGGACACCAACAGAAAGAAGGCATTAGGGGAAGCTTAGGGAAGGGAGCTGGACGTGACAGGTGAACATCTCCAGGGCTGAGGGAGAGGCGCGCACTCCTGGTATGTAAAACTCAACAGGGTGAAGTTTTGCCAGGCTGCCAAGAAGTTCACTGAAATGAGAAGTATGTGCTCCAAAAGAATGCCTTCTACCAGAGAGAGCTTAGACACTGATCCTCAGCACCCATGAAATCTCTAAGTCATGTTTTCCAAATGGTTATTTGTATTTCCTTCCCTTTCTTGTACTGATTCACCTTCATTCTACCACCCTCATTTGCATATGAGATCACATAAGATGCACAAAGGTTAGTCCCAGCTAACACTGGCTGAACATAAATAGGTCAGACATAGTTGTGTTGGCATAAGTGCTCTGAGCATGTGCAAGATGTGGATTGTGAGGCTCAAATAGACACTTTAACACAAGCAGTCTCTACAATTCTGCCTGTGGTTCAGCAAATAAGCGCCAATATGGCAGGGAATGACTCAACTAACGAAGAAGGAGATAATGTTGAGGATGATTTTGCCACAGAGGAACCTACCAGTGCGGCCGTCACTGTGCCAGCTGACACAGAAAATTTGCTGGCTTTACTCACGCAGTCGCTCAAAGCCAAGGAGACATGTGGCCAAGCTAACGACACAGAGCTGGCTGAGAAGATTAACAGTATTATGTCGACCGGGATTTCAGAACAGCGGCTCACAGAAGTGAAGGACAAGTTTCTACATCTGGAAAATTGCCAGTATCTAGAAGTACCAAAATGCCAGCCAGAGGTTTGGACAAGTGACGGGGATGCTAAGAGGAGTAAAGATCTAAAATTACTGCAAGTACAGTCCCTCCTCATTAAAGCTGTTACAGTGGCATGAATGTTGAATTTAATCTCGCACCTGTCCAGGATTTTTGCACCTATATGATCTGTAGACCAGAAAGAGTTCATTATAATTGACAGGGAAATAGGCAAATTGTTATCTAAAGGAGTCATAACTCATTGCCAGAAGAGGGACAATTTATCTCTACTATTTTTACCCGTCCTAAGAAAAATGGAAAAGTTAGAATCATTTTGAATCTTAACACATTGAATGAATTTGTCACTTACCACCATTTTAAAATGGACACCCTCCAGTCCTGTTTAAATATGATGCAACCTGATAGAGCTGAGCATGAGGAAGCGCTCCAGGACATGTTGGCTCAGCGGGAGTATTAAGTATATTCAAGAAAAGGTAAGGTTAACTTACTATGATCGTCATTATGGAAAGACCACCAATCCCAAGAATCCACACAATGGACCATCAGCCCACCACCTCTCCCTCTGTGACAGAAGATCCAGAGCCCGGACACGCAGATCCGACACCCAGCACTAGTTCAGGTAGCTCTGGCAATCAAGCTTTATTGGGTTCAGGGGACCCATTGCTTTCACTACTGAATTCTGGGGAATATCAGGTTATAACGGTGAACCCAGACGGAACATTCAACTGTGCATCTTCACCCACCCTTCTTCACTGGCAAACTAACCAGTTGGGTTCAGGGGACTCAACCCTGGCAGCATCTACAGATACGGCCTATCAATCATTAACTCACCACCTCTCCCAGACAGCCATCACTAAAATTCAAGAAGACCAGTATGTTGATCTCAAAGGCCTTATACCACACACCTCCAATACCCTGCTCCCAAGAGACAAACAGGAGACCTCCCCCCCCCCCAATTTTCGGTAATACCCCAGTTTGATCTGGCAGCCCCCTTGGTCAATCTCAATCTCGATTTTAGAAACTTAGCAATCGATCCTAGGTATCGTTTTACCAATGGGGCTATCTTCTTCCTGCCAAACATTCGAGATATTTTCCACAGCACTGGAATGGATAGCCAAAAACAAGTGCAATATACCACATATTATACACTTACTGGACGATTTCCTGATTGCTGCCCTAACAGAAGTCGAATGTCAGAACTCTCTTGCAAAATTTTGTGCCTTATGTAAACACATTGGTGTCCCTTTAGTGTCCGAAATAAACCACAGTCCCCATGACTACCATCTCCTTTGCAGGCATTGAATTAGACAAGAAGCAAGGCTACCACCTGAAAAAAATAGAGGGCTGTCTCAATCTCATTCAAACCCATCTATCTAAAAAGAAAATAACCCTCCAAGACCTAGAGTCCATCACATGCCTTATTAATTTTTGTTGTTTCGTAATCCCAGTGGGTAGAGCATTTTTGCGACACTTAATCAACCTCACAATAGGCATTTCCAAACTCTTCTAAAGAATACGCCTCAACAATGAATCCCACTCCCATCTATTTACCTGGCAAGAATTTCTTACAAATTCTAATGGTAAAGGGTTTTTCCATGAAGAAGGGTGGAGTATTTTCACCAATGCATCGAAAAGCTGTGGATTTGGTGCCATTTACAATGACAAGTGGTTCTATGGACAATGAAAAGATAATAAAGAGCAGTCACACATTTCACTTTTAGAACTGTATCCAATCGTGACATCAGATTTAATTTGCCAGGATAACCTGGAAAACAAAAAGCTAACAATATGGTCTGATAACGAGGCTCTCATATACATTTTAAACAATGCACTTCAAAGACCAACACATTATGATCCTTGTAAGGAAATTAGTTTTGACCTGCCTCAACAAAAATACTCACTTTAGAAGTTTAGAGCACTTCACATTCCTGGATCTCTCCATGCGGCAGCTGGTGCCTTCCCGATTTGAATTACAGAGATTCCACAAGTCAACACTGCTTGCTGCACAGGAGCCAACACCAGTACCACAAGAATGGCAGCTCAGCAACCTGTTGAAACCTGTAGTCGTTTGGGTACAGGGGACCCAATCTGCGACGAGTCAACTTTCCATTGATCTCAAGAACCAAGCTGCCAATCGCCTCATGGCTGACCTAAAGAAAACCATGGAGGCAGCACTCACTCCAAGCACGTGCCACTTACGAGAAAATAGAATCCCATTTACAAGAGTTCTACGAACTGACAGGCACTTCAGCTTTTCCCAACAATCCATCTGTAACAGCACTGTTCTTCCAGTTTCTAAGCGAAAGATATAAAAAAAGTTCTCTAAAAACATTCAAATCCACCTTGAGCTAAAAATACAAAATGAAGCATCTCGACGACCCACTTCTTTTTTGTCAAGCAAGCACTAAAAGGCTTAGAAAAGCAAGAAGAATCTAATGCCACAGCACCTCCACCTGAACACAGAGCTACGATCACCGTTCTGATGCTACAAGCCTCGATGCTAGCCATCCACTCTATTTTACGATCCAGTTATGAAATCACACTCTTCTCCACGATGTTCTTTGCTGCCTTCTATGGATTACTACGACTAGGCGAATATACAACAGGTGACTCTCAGCACACTTTACTGGTGCAGAACGTGACAATCAATTCCCCCTGAGGGCTGGGCACTTCTGTCCCCACATTTAAACATTCCAAGTCAACCTCAGTGAACAAAGTGCTTCTTAATAAACAAAACTCACCAACGTGCCCAGTAACAATGCTAGCAAATTATCAAAGAATCTGTCCAAACATGCAAAATGGATATTTCTACCTCCACGAGACCAGAACACTTCTCCTGTACACAGACGTGAGTTCTGTAGATTTCAGAATATGTGCACTCAAGCTGCTCAACTCTCGCATCTAAACATCAAGCCACATAGCTTTCGCATTGGATGAACTACTTTAGCCGCCCAGTGCAGTCTTTCTGACCAACAGCTTAGGGACATTGGAAGGTGGAATTCAGATGCCTTCAAACAATATTTTAGATACTAACTGCTATGCAGCATATAATATGGGTATCATTATCTTATGTATACAAAACATGTAGATGAACAGACTATGCTTAAATTCCTGGATACATCAGGTGAATTATCAGCTTTAATTCTATGAAAGGCAGTATTAAGAACATGTTTTAAAATAAGCAAAAATTAGTGCCAAATCAAATGATACAAATATAATCTTTGATAACAAATGCAAAAACCGTCAACATGTCAGCATAGACTTTTCCTTACAAGCATTCTACAAAATGTTTACACTAATAAAAGTGCTTAGTAAGAACACAAACACAATTGTAGTCTTCCTATAATCTCGGATTTTTTTGGGTGGGGGTATAAACCTTTCTCGAGGTTTATTATGGCGCTTTTTCTCCCCACTTTTTATGGTTTAAGGAAATGACACCACATTACACAACAGAAATCAATTATTTTACCTATTAGTTTAAAAAATATAAAGGAGTTATTCATCTCTGGTAAACTGTGGCTCATAAGTGTTATAAACTGACATATACACCCGACAGTGGCTCCTCCTACTACACCAGAATAGACCAATAACTTATGCATGTGCGTCACGTGACACAACGCGTAATGCGCGTGAGAACACAAAACACCAGCAGATCGCTACTTTACAGAGAAGAGATAAAGTGGAGGGAGAAGTTTGTATGAAGCATCGCTCAGATGATATATTAAGTATATTCAAGAAAAGGTAAGGTGAACTTACTATGATCACTTTCTTTTACTCTCCTTCCCTCCCCATCTAACCCTCGACTCCAAATATTTTCCTACTATATTCAGCCATATGTCTACATAATTGCGGTACTCACTTTAACAATGCTTTGGTGCTTTTTCTCCCCACCTTTTATGGTTAAAGGAAATGACACCACATTACACAATAGGAATCGATTATTTTACCTATTAGTTTAAAAAATATAAAGGTGTTATTCATCTCTGGTAAAGTGCATTTACCCAAACAAGGTTGGGAATTAGAACAATGGGTTAACACCCATTGTATTAACACGAAATTGGAAGTGACTCCAATGTCCCAAGAGTTGAAATATAACCATAAAACAGAGCAAAAAATCCCGCCTTTTTATTTTCCTCAAAAATCCGTAGCTGTTATAAATAGAAAATAAAGAACACAGCTTAAATAATAGAAGATTTATTAAACCTTTAAAATGACAAAAACACCATTTCTATCATAAGAATAGTGGGCCTCACTACCAAAGATGCTGAGGACAGAAAAGCATTCGGAACTCCTCGACAATTTCCGGCTATCTTCCGAACGCCTTGAAACTAGTCTCGGATGTATGACAGTAAAAAATGTCGCCTACGCACAACATATGTGATCAGGTCAAGAACCCGGATGGACGGCGCCGCATCACTAATGTATACCGCAATCAAAACAATATAGTTCCCCCAAAACACGTGGATCTAACAAATATGGCGTCATTCGACGAATGTATTGAATATGCACTATCTTCCTGCCCACTTTTTAAAGATCAAGACTACAAACTACGTGAAAAACAACTGGAAACACTGAGGATATTGTTCGAAGGAAAAGACTGCGTGTCCATTTTACCAACTGGCTATGGGAAGAGCATAATTTTTCAGTTGCTGCCTTGGTTTCTCCAACATAAACTCAAGAAAAAACAACCGATGATCGTCTTGGTGGTTTCCCCACTAAACTCCCTAATACAAGACCAGATTTCAAATTTGAGAAGAGTAGGCATAGTTGCGTGTACTATCAATATATCAGGTAGATTCCCCTTCGTTTTCTTCCTCTTCTCTCACAGAATTTAAATCACAATATTAATAACAAATAGGGTTATTATTGCTGCTCTTGATTTAATAACAACAACGATGAATATATAATTAAAATGAAGAAAGAATTTGTTAATAATAGTAAGAATGTATAATTATTTATTATGCCTAAATAAACATGTCCTGTCAGGGTGCTGCCATGTTTATTATATTGGTATCTAGAGTAGTTTGCACTACTTCCAAAATGGCGACGTCTGTCATACGGCCGAGATATGATGACGCAGGAATCAATCGACGGTGAGCCGAGTGGACAGAAGAGGTCACACCAAAGACAGTCGTGGCACAAAGAGGAGGATACAGGATGCCCAGGAAGAGTGTCTGAGGGAAATCAGTGACAGCTTGAGGGCCAACATGCAGCTGCTAAAGGCCAACCGAAGCCATGATAGCACACCAATGTGTATATTGGACAGATAGCAAAGAGGTTTATTGCAGGTTATGTCAGGTAGGTTGTCAAAAGCTCCCAAGTCTTTCTGGCAAACAGGGTTGTTTCAAATAATACAAAAGCCAACCCCCACAATGAGGCTTGAAGTCATATAATATCTAAAGTTCAAGAGTAATGAATGATATAGAGCTGTTACAACTGATCAGTGGGTCTGTTTATTTTGATTATCTATTATTGAAAAAATATATACATCTGATTTAGAGCCAAAAATATTACAAGTTTTCCATATTGAGGTTTTAGCAGCAAGTTCTGAAAAATCAGAAAACAGATAAAGACCCTGTATTACCTAGTATTTAGACATAAAAGGATGCATTACAAAGTGGTTTACTATGTACTTTGTCTCTTACAATGTGTCTCTTTTAATGTGTAATTCTACTGATTGCAGTATGACTCTATAATTTAAAGAGGCCAAACATTATAAACCATATCTATCCACATAATCTAACCTACACTAAGATGAGATTTATGACCAGCAATATCCTCAAGGGCAGATGAAGCCTCCAATAAAAGGCTTAGGTTATAATGACCAGGATGGAAGCTGCATCTATTCTGCACTTTGCAGAGTCCCCCAGTTCCAGCTGCATATGTAAACATGAAGTGGAATGTGTGTATGTCCTGGAACTATAAATAAAGACCACCATCATTCATGAAAATATCATTAAACATAGAGCAGAGAAAGAGGAATATAACACATCTAAAGTATGCAACTTGAGGAAGGGCAGGGGATATAAGGAAGCATGGAAAATTTTATCAAATTCAATTTATTCTAAAAGGTCTGGTACACTTAAAAACAGTATGTGGTGGAAGTTAAACTGCTACCACTGACCTAAATATCATCAGAGGCTTTCTTTTCCTTAAAACAAGGTTATAAATGTTATTGGGGTTTTATTTACTAAGACTACACAAATTGGCCTTTCACTGAACAAGGTGCCTTTACAATCCAATAACATACAAAAACATTAAAGAGTGAGGCCTTATCCAGAAGCAAATATCCTACAGTTAAATTTAATATAATCCCAACTAAACCTTAATTCATTGTGTGACACCAGTCTGTCTGCAAGCATCAGGTTGGGTGATGTGAATGTTGCTGCTGCTGCAGATGTTCTTGAAATTGCATGGCTGCCTGAATCTGATCTCCAGAACAATATTCCTAAAATGTGGAAAAAAAGCAATCCGTACATCATTATCCATTACAACGTGTCATCCTTACTTTTTTTACTATTCTGAGTGTGAGCTGACCATCCCAAAAATATCTTATGACTCTAATGTTTTGTTTATGCAAAATAATTTAAATAAAGACCTATATCTGGTGAATACCTGTAAGAAGACTGTGGCCAAGTTCCCCAGTCTCGGGTTGGCAGACTTACTAAATCTGAGCATGCACTCTACCACTGGAAGACTGGCAACTTCTGGAACAAAACATAAACCAGGGCATAGTTGCTGAAGTTCTAATCTTTACGCCGGGATTTGATATACACATAAATATGACAAAATTGCATACATATATTACAAGTAATATATTTTAACCTCAAATAGGAATTTATAAGTCATAATAATGGGTAAGGTCTAAAAAGCCATACATTCTCCTTTTAGCAAATAATTGTTTTAGGATGAAAGCTTTTCATGTATCATTTGTTTAAAAAAAGGAAATGTTAGTTAATGTTTTAATAATTGCATGAATACGTAAATCATGATAATATATGTACAAGTGCTCCTTCAATAGGCCATGATTATTTCAATTTAGTAATAAGTTACATATAATTACCTTCCCTGGATTCTTGAGTGAAGAGAAACATTAGGCATGTAATGGCAGATAGCACAGTTTCTTCATTATCACTAAATAAAATAAAAAGGGATTTTTGTACTGAAAGTCTTTCAAGATATAAATCAAACCCATTAAAATTTTTAGAACTGATTTTCACTAATCTGCAATAATTTAATGAGACTGAAGCATGTAGGCTGCAATCAATTCAATTATTATTCAAGACTCTTACAATCATAATGACCATGTATCAAAGAATAATTTACCTTGATAAGCAGCCTACAACAAGTTTAACTCCATCATTTTTCAGAATGTGATCTCTGTTGTCCTTGTCTGAAACAGCATTAAAATGTTAGAGCAATATAAAAAGTAAACTTTCTCAGATAACTTTTAAAGATTATTGCATAAATATTTAAAGGGAAAGCATTTTAATTTTAAAATTTAATACAATATAATAGAGATATATCAAAATAGATTGATTAAAATACCTAGTAAAGGAATGTTTAATCAAGGGTGTAGCAGGCAAAGCTAGCAATGTTTCATCTGTATAAATTTTATGAAAACCTGTCCATTTTCCCCAAGAGTAAACTGGTCATTTTAATTATAAAAAAGTGGATTTTATCCAAGTGAAAAAATATTGAGCTCAGTGTTTTTGTTCACTTAGTGTACATGTTAACCTATGACAGCATGGAACAATGATAATCTTTAAAAATTATCCTCATATGAATACAACTATATTTCATTTGCCACCCCTGTAAATATCATAATATATCTTGATCTATGACATCCCCTATTTAATTACACATGCCATACAAACAAACTGGCAGCTTAACAGCTCATTATGCTGAAGACCCCATTGGAATGGGGTCTAGGTCAGTCTGTTAGTGGACTAGACTGGGATCTGGCTTTGCATGGGATAAATAAGTTTATAATCCAACGTATGCGGGGGTCGTCCATTAACTAGCACGCAAGAGAAAAAGCAGCAGATGTACAGCCGCCCTACTGGCATAGGAGACCGAGAAGATGACACAATACGGGTGAGTACAAGTACAGCACCAGTTCATGTCAATCAATCTGACTTTCCGGCCAATGGCAACGTTGGCTCATGTCACGTGACGTAAACACAGAAGAAGAACCCTAGGCAGAATATTCCCAGTTTCCGTGGAGCCTGCATGTGAAGTTCACAAAGAAAAGAGAAGTAGAAAACAATAGACAAAATTAAGGTAAGAAATCTTAAAATTTGTTTCCTCCTCCCTCCCCTCAACTACAAGTGATATATATAACATCTATCCCGCTCAGACGCTTTACGGCGCGGTGCGGCGCTTTACTTTCCCCACCTTTAATGATTATGCGTTTTCACACCATCTAAATTAGTGGACTAGACTGGGATCTGGCCTGTGACATATTATGTATATCTAGACCAATTTTTATAATAAAATTTGAGGTGTTTTCACGCAAGCACATAATATCTTTTGCAGCAACAGCAAAGTACCATTTTAAATATGTTTAATTAAAATTATCTCTGTTGTCTGTGAATTTGGTTTAATTAAAATAATCTGTTTTTGTTTTTTTTCATTTTCTTCCGATTACCACTGAGAATCTCTCTGTATACTGCTATAAAGTACTACAAGAATTATGAAATACTATATTCAGCTCACCAAGGGAACAGTTGCAAATACCACCAATGGCAAATTCAACTAACTTTGGATTACTCTCTGTCAAACAATCTGAAAAAAAAAAATAATAATAATAAGTAAACACACTGCTCATAATGCAATACTGTTCCTACAAGCAGTTACTTGACCATGCAATTAGGGTAGGGTTAATAAGAACTTTTTTTGGAAATCTCTCATAGAACAGTTGATTTTAGAGGCAAAATGGGTTAAAAAGTTCATTTCTCATGAGAAACTTGAGATAGGGGCATTCTTTAGGTCGGTAATTTACTATTTTTGGAAACGTATACAAAGCATTTGTACTACATATCAGTAACTGTAGTAACTATATGCATGTATACACCTGTATTGAATAGGGTTGGGTGAAGCACAAAATTTTGATAAGTGTTTTCTACATGGCAGAAAATGATGCTTGACATACATGTACAGCTATTTTTTCACAACAGCCATTTAGGTTGGTAAAATGACGATTTAAAATGGCAGACAAAATGCCCTAACAATAGTTTCAACATCAACAATTAAAGGACCCATAGTTTGTAAGATGTGAGCTCACATGGTATCTTAACTCACTGCCAAATGTACCAATATGAGTATTAATATCAGAAACGGATTCTACAACCCCTAAAAGATAGGAAAAGACAAATGACACACTAGAGAACTTTTAATTGTTGTTGATGAAACTCTTAGTAGGCTGTTGTTTTGGCTGCCATTTTGAAAATAGTCATTAACTGACCTAAGTAATTGTTGTTGAAATAAAGGATTGTCATATTTGTGCTCAGTGCCAAATTTCACCTCAGAAAACACCTATTATGGAAATTTTTTTAGATTTACCCTACTCTAATACAATATTAGTGCTAACGTAGTAAAAAAAGAAGGCAATGTTTCAAACATATTATAACAGTGACTGTGTAAGTTGAATGAAAACACTTATATTGAATGAAATATTCACTTTGATACTTTCTCTTCATGTCTTATGTCAGCTTCCTTTCACTCATTATTTTAAAATTCTGTATGAAGCCCCATCAAGTACACTCTATATACCTTTATAAGCAGTTTGTAAACATTCAAAATAAAATAAAGTAGCCTTCTATACTTCAATAGTACTCAGTTACTATGACTTCAAACTATGTAAAGATAGGAGTCATGAAGTGCATATCATCTGGAGATATTTATGACACAAAAAATATATTTGCAAAAGCTATACCTTCAACTTACCAAGAAAAAGATCCCAAACATTCAACTTCCTCATGAAGTCATAATTGATAGGATCATATGCGAAATTGGCCAAATTTGCAAGCACTTGTTCCTTGGACTCTAGAAATAAATGCAAAGGGAAAATATATTTTACATAATATGACATCTCACTTATGTTTTGACAAATGATAAACAACATACATGGAAGCAAGCATGTTTATGTTGGACATGTTGACACCTGACCAAGAATAACTGGTGTTACCACACTGAGACAAATGGCAATTGGGGTTCAGAATCCCCCCCCCCCCCCAAAAAAAAAAGAGGATTTATTTTGATGTTCCATATAATCTGAAGGTTGTATTTCGTATATTTAGACTGGGTTCCCACAGATTTAGAATGATCCATCTGGATCAACCTAACTCCCTGAGGGTTCAAGCTAAATTGCTGTCAGCTTCTGGGAACCGAGCACGCACAAAAGTCAATTACCCCCTTACAGCTTTAAGTAGGAGGGACAGACACTTAAGCTGGTTAAGCTGGCAGCAATCTAGTGAGGCTCCCCAGGAGGATAGATCGATCTAAATATCTGTGGGAATGGTCTCTTATTGACACCCGGTGAAATTTAAATCGGATTCATCTCAGTAAATAGCGTCTGAAAAAAATTACAAACATGATATCACTAAAACTTGAATAACTTTAACGGTTTATCCATGCTCCGATATGTTTTAATCTGTCTGTGGATTCTACGTTATCATTAACATTTAGCATTTTACTGATTTATAATAATAAACAAGTCTGAAACAGTGTTAGACGATGTCCACTTGAGGAATGATTTTAAAACATCCATATACCTTCGCTGGAGGTGTCCTGAAATTCGGTTACTAAAGATTGCAGATAGCTAAAGCGACCAATTCCCCAAGGACCAGTCTTCTTCTGCAGGTATTCTTTAGAACTGAACATTCTAAACAGTTTTGGAGAAAATTGCCTGCCTCTTCACTAAACTGAACATGTGCGCGGAAATGACGTCAAATGTAACGGCATGAACTGATTGGCTGTCATAGACTTTTCCGTAATAAGCCGAATAAAAATTGTTCGGTTTTTTAACTTATTGAAATTAATACACATACTTTTATCAATATAATTAATAGTGATGTTGAGGCGAAAAGAAAACAATGTAGTCTTATATTACGAAGCAAAATTTCAATTGCACATCATCAACTCCCGAAGCACGAAATAAACAAGAAAAATGGCGGACAAGAGTTCACCTCCTCCGCAAGTGAAGATAGGGCATTATGTTTTGGGTGACACTCTGGGCATTGGCACGTTTGGAAAAGTTAAAAGTAAGTTTCACAGTGATCAAGGCGCCTGTTTACTTCCTATTTGTTTTCTATCCCTAAACTGGGGTTATTTTGGGGGGAAGGGAGAATATCTGCGGTTTTGCACGTACGATTGTTTACTAAAAAGCAGGCAAAGACGTACCTGCACTGTGAAGCCAAGTGACCTGCAGTGAGGTCATGTTATCGTGTCCTGTGCTTCTTTGTGTTATTGAACTTTGTGCGCTTTACAAGAGACCAATACATATCCACACATTTTGGCACTTGTGTAGCATCCTCCATAAAACTGATTTTCAATATCTTTACCAAATATTGATTAGTTCGGTGACTTTGAGCAGTGTAATTTTGTTTGACAATTGTTAAAAGATATTTTTTAATGAAATCTATGGCCTCCAAAAATTATGAAAGAAGAGATGGGGTGAACATTTTCTGTAATCTCATATGTTGAAAAGCTCGAAAGTACATTTACAAACTTATTTATTTGAATAGCAGATACATTGATCAAAGTCACCACATTACTTACTTTTGATTAACATGCAAATTTAGATAATTTACATGTCTAGATATCTTGTTGGTAAATAGTCTAATTAATATGAATACGCCTTTTATCTATGTATTATGAAGGATGGTTTGGATTAAGTCTGTAATTATGGTTTAAAGTCTAGCTGTCATGCAGTTCTTACAAACAGCATTAATAAACAATAGATTCAATAACATCAAATGAATTTGATACATCCAAAATATTGTGATTTTTGTTTCACTGTTCAGTGTTTCAGAGTATTGACTGTTTCATTGGATTTCATGTATGTTTTTTAAAACTATTTTTCAGCTGGAACACACATCAAGACTGGCCATAAAGTTGCAGTGAAAATCTTAAACAGACAAAAAATTAAAAATCTTGATGTTGTTGGAAAAATCAGAAGAGAAATCCAAAACCTCAAACTGTTCAGACATCCACATATTATTAAACTGTAAGAATTTTTGCTCCTCTTATCTCTCCCACCCCCTCTCTTGCTTAATCTTTTCAGTGGGCAAAATTATCAAACTTTCAGGTGCATAATTGTATAATCACAAAAAAATTATTTCTGTAAAGCATAGATGGTGCTTTTACTGCATAGAAAAGAAATATGGAGTAGCCTGCTTTTAATTATGTAGCTACCACTCAAAAGGTATATTCTAATTCTAAGAATTTATAAATTAAAAAGTATAGTATTTGTAAAATTCACCCCCCCCCATTAAAAAGATCCTGTATATGACTTTGTAAAAAAAAAAAAAAAAAAAAAATATATATATATATATATATATATATATATATATATATATATATATATATATATATATATATATATATATATATATATATATATATATATATTTGAATTGTATCCAGATTACTTCCCTTGATTCATACAAGAAATTATTTAACTATTCCAATCTCTTCCAGATACCAGGTGATCAGCACTCCAACTGACATTTTCATGGTAATGGAATATGTCTCTGGAGGAGAATTGTTTGAATACATTGTCAAACATGGCAAGGTAAGTGGATGTTTACTTGAATTTGATGCATTTGAAAGTTCAATAGTAAACATTATAAATTGTGCCTTGGTTGTCAGATTTTTTTCTTACAGGAAAGGGAAAGGGGAAATCTTAATGTAAAAGTAACTTTTAAAAACTGTTTTAGCTGAAGGAATCTGAAGCACGGAGGTTCTTCCAACAGATTATCTCAGGTGTTGATTACTGCCACAGGCACATGGTGGTACACAGAGATTTAAAACCAGAAAATCTTCTTTTGGATTCCAGCCTCAATGTTAAAATTGCTGATTTTGGTAAGATATCAAGATGATACACCAAGCATATATTGCATGTTTGGGGAAGTTTTGTTTTATACTTTAAACAAATTTGTACAAAAAAGCTAATAATGGATTGATTTAATTATCTGTTATACATCAGTAGATTTATGAATTAAAAAAGGATGAACTTAACTGTCTTAAGTTTGGATAAAATTGTGGAAGTTCTTTGTACTTTCAGCAGCAATTGCAATTTTTTCACAGAAGCGCTTGTTATAGAATTCGAGAGATTATGTGACCACCACATTGTTATTTTTTAGGTTTGTCCAATATGATGACTGATGGAGAATTTCTTCGTACCAGTTGTGGGTCTCCAAATTATGCTGCTCCGGAAGTTATTTCTGGAAAGTAAGGACTTTTTGATTAAAGTTAACTTTTAAACATAAATGTAATATTTTATAATTTTATAATGTTTATTTGTATTCAAACAGTTTTGGAAAAAATATATTTTGAAAACACATGAGTGTATAAAAAAGGTTAAAAATCTGATGAGCTTAACAAATTAATAGATGATGGAAAACAGATTCAAAGGTAAACCAAGATGGTGTTAAATTGCTGTATTTCAGATTGTATGCAGGCCCTGAGGTGGACATCTGGAGCTGTGGAGTCATACTATATGCCTTACTTTGTGGAACTGTAAGACTGGATCTTTTATTTAGTCACATGCATTTTAAAATTCTTGTTTTTTCCTTCTTGAAACTCTGTAAAAACAAATTTTCTAAAATTGCATAGTTGGGGATAACTTAAGTTGGATGAATAAGCATTTTCAAGGTTGAGAAAAGTCATTTTGACATTGTTTATCCTACTGATTCAAATTTAAATTATTGGGATTTTATGCAAGACATAGTTGTAAGATAGAGATTGGATAAAGTAGGTTTTTAAGAAGTTAGAATTACAATTGAATGAGGTTTTTAAATGTGTATACCATTTACTTTTTCAGTTGCCATTTGATGATGAGCATGTACCAACTTTGTTTAGAAAAATAAAATGTAAGTCACATTTTGTTCTGTGTAGTTAGAAACGAGCTTTGTGAATTTTTAATTTTTCTTTCTGTTTTGCAGTACATATGTTATTCAAGAAGTTTTATATAAGTGTTTATATCACACACGATTTTCATTTCCCATATTCAGAAGAGAAGCAAAGAAAATTATAGAAGTATCAATATATGTTTGTGTGTGATAAGAAATTAATATATGTATATATTCTTTAAAGATACAATTAAAAAGCAATTGTTTTTGTGTTAAAGATTTTTGCAATAAGACAGATTTATTTCTTTCAGCTGGCATTTTCCCAAAACCTGACTATTTGAATAAGTCAGTATTGGACTTGATAGAGAAAATGCTGCTTGTAGATCCAATGAAGCGAGCTACCATAGCCACTATTAGGTGAGAAAATATACAAGTGAATCCTTGAATGTGAATGTTTGAAAAAATATAACTTTGCCATTGCTTATTTAGCCAGTCACTATACCACCAACAGAATATAAAAGATCTAGGCACCTTTTTCAGAGTATTGTCAGGGGAAAGCTAAAATGTCAGCAGCTTAAAGAAGGGAACTAAGATTTCTAAAATCAACAAAGAACATCATGGTAATATTAGTTGATTAGGGAAATGCATTAGCTTATATTTCTTCACATTTGTTTTTAGGGAGCACGAGTGGTTTAAGATTGACCTGCCATGTTATCTATTCCCTGAAACAAGTGGCCATGATTTGTCAGATATTGATGATGAAGCCATCTTTGAAATTTGTGAGGTAGGAAAAGAATTACTTGAAACTATATCATTGTATTTTTTAAAATAATTTCTTTGTCATATTGACGCAATTGTGAAATATAGACCTATCCTAACAGTATGTCCAGAAATACTATATGGCTATATGGTGTTTGAAAATTGTGTTTTACAGGGAATGATGGCTTTCTATTTTATAATTAACCAAAACACAATGCCTTGCATAGTTAAACACTGAGCATCAATTGTAACTTTCAGAAATTCCAATGCACAGAAGCTGAAGTCATAGCTGCCCTGGAATCTGGAGACCCACATGACCAGCTGGCCATAGCTTATCACCTTATGGTGGACAACAAGAGGATGGAAGATCTCAGTAAGTAGACTTAATATCTTGATGTTGCCGTACACTGGATATAGTTATTTTTTTAGTACAGTAATTGAATAATACAATATAATGAAGATTCTTATAACCTGCATATTTTAATAGATATGCTGCTTTTGAGTTGAAATTTGGCAGTATTTTCTAGATTATTATTCCGTATTGAAAGACCAGCAAGTTGGTCACATGTGGTTAAAGCATTCTTTATGAAATCTATCCAGAGTTCTTAAATGTGTACTTGCTTTAAAGCTTCTCAGATGGAGATGAAGGAGTTCTACCTGGCATCTAGTCCACCTACAGAGTCCTTCATGGTGGTGAGTCTTCTCTAATAATTTGGCTTGACAAAATGATAAATATTTGTAAGATTTATTTATGGAAGATTTTGCTACATAGATGCACATAAAAAGCAGTCAAGATATCCACAGCACATATACTTAAATATTTTTTTGTGAAATGCATAGTGTTAGTTTTGAATCTGTAAATTATGGTTATGATAACTCTGGTTTTGTCTTTTGTAATATTTAACATAACGTTCTTCTTTGGCTTTTAGAAACTGAGTTTCCAGTTTACTTTTCAGAATGCCAGTCCTGTCAAACCGCACCCAGAGAGAATGGCAGGTACTGAGACCTTAGAAGGATTCTTGATATTTTATTTTTATCTCTCCATATTTGATATAAAAAGGGTGACCTTTGGGAAATTCATATTTCAAAAATCTAGAAATGGAAGATTAGTTTAAGTTGATCTGTCTCATACAAGTTTATTTAAGAGAAGAATGAATGTGATCAATAATGAGTATCTAGTTGAAAATTTAAAGTTTCTGGAGGTTGAAATGGGGTATGACTCTGGTGCCACTTAACCAAAAAAGATTTGTTTTTAGCCCCAACAAATTTGACAGTTACATTGGACCCCCAGGCAGAGACCAAGAAGGCTGCAGCCATAGGCAAAAAAGCTAAGTGGCATTTAGGTAGGTGGAATATAGGGATTGTAATAATACTTCCTTTAACTTTTTACATTTCTGTCATTCCAATTTTACACAGGATTGTTGCAGAAATATTAACCATTACAATTTTCAAATATGTCTGTTTAGCCAAATGTGGAACTAATGTTTATTGCAACATCAGCTGTATATATGTGTCTAATTCTTGGGCTAGCATAGCTTATAAGATAAATTATTTCCTTATTGTAGTAAAGGACTGTCCTTCACCTAAATTTTAAAAAATTCATTTTTTAAATAGTAAGTGCATCACACTTAGTACAGCAACTGTTTCTAACCTCTACCAGGTATACGGTCACAGAGCAAGCCACAGGATATCATGCATGAAGTATTTAGGGCAATGAAGCAGTTGGATTTTGTAAGTTATTCTGATCTTAAATTTTTTATTCACATTTGTGGTTGGTTAGGAGGAGGAGGTAATCAGTTGTTAAGTGGGGTATTTGGTCTGATGAACCTTAAAATTTATTGATGACAGAAACTTATGTTCTGGTCATGAATTGTTATCACCATTTATTGATTAAAGATCTATTTTATTTCTAGGAATGGAAGATAATTAATCCCTTCTATATTCGAGTTAGAAGAAAAAATCCAGTGACAGGAAGATATGTAAGTCAAAAAGATAGGTCATTCATGTTTTCACCCCTTGATGTGGTGAAACTAGAAACATATTGGACAAGTGATATAAATAGAAATTGTAATTGAAGCTGTTGCTAAGCGGTGACAGTCAAGGCACTTGAATGGTCTTTTTTTAAATTAATTTTATTCCTGATAATATTGGATTCAGTAAAATAGTTCAGACTTACATGAAAGAGGGCAAGTAGCATTGAGAGTTTTCGAGCTGTAGCTGCTGGTGTGGGAATATTGTTGCTGTGCTAAATTAGCTATTTTGTATTGTCAATCTAGGTGAAAATGGCCTTGCAACTGTACCAAGTAGACCACAAGAGCTACCTGTTAGATTTCAAAAGCCTCTCAATAGAACATGAAACAGCTGATGTTTCTCCGACAATTAATCCACCAAACACAGGGGAAGGTATGGTAACCCTTGAAGATGAGTTTGGGCTTCCTAGCCCACGTGGTAAGGATGAATGTGGACATATTGTATAATGTCTTAGTGATTTCCTGTAAACAAACCCTCCTTTAAAAATTTCCCTTCAAATTTTCTCTTTTTGAAATATATTTCAGTGCAAACTGTGTGGGTTTTTCTATGCTCATCCTTTTTTATGTACAGACACAGATGTGTCTGTACATATAGCCATCATCTGCGTCTGTCGTCGCCGTCGTGCACTTTTACCGATAACACGATAAGTGGAAAACTGTTTTTTCTTTTGGCTTGAAACTTACAGAACTAATGAATATTCATAATACGCAGGTCAAGTTCGAAAATCAGCATGATCGGGTCACTTATAGGGAATTTATGCTGTTTTTTCACTTTTTTCAGCATAAATGAAGCACCGATAACACGATAAGTGGAAAACTGTTTTACTTTTTGGCTTGAAACTTACAGAACTGATGAATATTCATAATACGCAGGTCAAGTTCGAAAATCAGCGTGATTGGGTCATTTTTAATGAATTTAGGCTATTTTTTCTCTTTTTTCAGCATAAATGCAGCACTGATAACATGATAAGTGGAAAACCATTTTACTTTTTGGCTTGAAACTTACAGAACTGATAAATATTCATAATACGCAGGTCAAGTTCGAAAATCGGCATGATTGGGTCATTTTTTAGTGAATTTAGGCTATTTTTTCTCTTTTTTCAGCATATATATACAGCACCNTGTTGAATTTTAAAATTAAGTTAAATATTTTTATAATTAATTTAAAGGGAATATTGATACTGTTATAAGTATAAATGCTACATTGAAAACTTTTATTTATGTGATTGCTGTAGGTATGGTTGAACGTATGGACTCCGAAGATGACCCAGTTTCATCACCATCAGGTCAAGTTCACCAGACTTTGGAATTCTTTGAAATGTGTGCAGCTTTAATAACCACACTGGCTCGCTGAAAACTGGGCTTGCCATGTGGTGAACTGTTTTTTTTTTTTCTTTTTTTTTTTTTTTGTACTACAGGTATACTTAATATGTATCTTTCCATTTAAAGTAAACTCTACATTTAAAGGAGTATAGACGAATTAACTGCCAAGATGGAGGTCAATACAGGTCAAGTGCTGAAGGAAGAATTAGGATTTCTGGACTATTATAAGTGAAACAAGGAAACGACTGAATCCCTTATATGCCACATATTTCATAATGATCAGTACACAGTATATGTCATGACCCATTTCTAATTTTTTTGTGTGGAAGGTAATAGAGATCAAAAAGAGGAAAACACGTGGTTTCTTGTTGCGCTTGGCTTGCGGTAATATATGTATTCTTCCACAGGAGTGGATATTTGAGCCAGTTGAAGTCGGTATTAAACTGTGTATATATTTCGTTAAAATAATCCAGCTTTGAAATTTTTTGATGGCTGCATGGACCAAGTCATTTAGGAAATTATTCCATATTTTGTACACCAAAATCTTCCATAACATAAAAAAATATATTCATTGCTTCATAATTTTGTTAGTGGTGCTGAAAAATTAGAATGAGTATGGTCACTAACAATGTACCTCCAAGTAATTACTGGCAATTTTCATAGTGTACCATGTCTCTATATAATGTTGGAGTGGGACCTTGATTTTTTGGGGAAAAGAATGGCGCACAGCTATGCCTGTCTTTAATGGTGATTTTGAAGAAGGTTTGTTGACAGATGCATTCAAGGACGTATATGTGTCAGCGGTTACGAGCCTGAGTAATGGTTGCTGTTTTGATTTAACATACTACGCTGCATGTTTTAGCAAGAAAACGACTGTATCAATTATAATATCAAAAAATAAAAGTGTGCAATATAAAGTTGTCAATGGTATGAACACGTCCACTTTCTTAGTCTTTCTAAATACTGTTGGTAAAGTAGGTGAAGTGTTCTATTGCTGCTGCCTTCTCTGTGCAACATAGGCCTCCGCGTGTGATTTCGGCTTGCACTAGTGATACATGTTCAAAACATTGCCCCTTTTAGTAATATAATGTTTACCAATCATCAAGATTAGTTTATTTTACGAAACAAAAATACCTGCGTGTCCTCATGAGTACATGAGACGAGGTGGAAAAGGGAAATGGACGTGAATGTTGACAAAAGATCACACCAAGTTATACGAAATCGAGACTCGTTTTATAGACGTCAGCTTCAAGATTTCCTACCAATACTTTGCAAAAGAACGACAATAAATCCTGATCAACAGCTCTCACAAATGAAAAGCAAATTAAAGAAACGTGGAAAACGAGATAAAAAGGGGGAAGAGAGAGAAAGTATGTATTTTACCATTCTTTTCGGAACTTTTTGCAGAGAAACTGACGATGGCGACAACAGCACTACGATCGGCCTAGAAGAATAATACATTTAGCTATCCGTAATGTAAATATCTACCACGTCGTTATGAAATCGATGATGAAATATTCTTTATACATTGAACGCAACTCGGATTTTATATTAATTTCCGTTATATTTTCTAACATATTTGTAATCATTTAAGTTTATGTCTAGCTAACATAAGTTATTGTTCTTGCGATGCGATCGATACATAAAAGCGGAATGGATTTTAAATATTTAGTGCAAACTTCAAACCGCACAATCCTGGATAAAACCTATTGATTCTTATTCAGTGCAACTCAAAACTCATTCAATGAATCCAATAGGGAATGAAGATTCAAGACCGATATCACATTGGTTTAGTGTCTCTTTAAGCTTTGAAAACTGAGCTTTTGGTGTACAGATAGAATATTCTCAAACCTGCTTCAGTTGTTATTTTGCCCTCATTGTAACAACTGGTAGTCTGTAAATCGAACAAGAACAAATAAATAATACCAAATGAATATTAGTGGTGACGCGACACTGTTTGATTTCCAAGCAGTCTCACATATAACGCATGATCTTTTACGGACCACAATATTGACTTTGCCGCAGTACGTTAGAGCTCTGGTCAAATATTTAATACGTAACCTGTACCCTCACCTCACCTCATGCGGTAGATTTCTATTTTAAAATATGCCTATAGTGCATCGAGTAAAACTACTAACAACCTACACAAATACAGTAACTAAACCACTGGTTGATTTACAGTTGCAGTGTGCATTTTATTCAAACTATTCCATTTTAAACATTAACAGTGGTTAGTTTTGAGGGGAGGTTAAGTAGGTTAATTAAAATAAATTAGTTAATCGTCATTCAGTTTAATATCAGACTATTAGTTTTTAATGTTGTTTTTCAATTAAATAAGTTTAGCTTATCAATTTCGTAGATGACATACATGAGCCACCAACAAACGGATATTAACGACAACACTATATTTACCACCCTCAATTTCGAAGTAACTATGGCAACTACAACCCACTAACCGACTTACAACAGATCGGTCCCGTTTTTTAGACGCAAATGGAACGTGGTGTGATTTATAAGTGAGTCACCGTCTGAACTTTAAAATCTACGAGGTTTTGGTTGCTTTCTCCAAAAATGTACATAGTGACACTCTGGCTTCGTCAAAATTTAAGACTACAGGCAGTAGAAAAACAAGTTCCATATCTTCCACCACTTTCGACAGCCGTAATAAAGTCAGGTGCACAGCACTGTCTCACTTAAATAATGACTGATTATCTTCAAAGCCAGGTGCACCTCGCACGATTTTAATTAAAGCTTCAAGAATAATCGCCACTGACTATTTTGGTTGCTACAAAACCCCGTATCTAAAATCAATTTTTTTAAAACACTAACTGTCAAAATACCTTATCAACATCAGGTAAACACCCTAAAATGTGTTACAACAAATTACACATGGCTGTATGTGATACAAGCTATGTCATCCAGGCACTTCTCTTGGTTAGCTTTTTCCAATCCCTTCAGCCAATTCTGACATTTGACAACAATTTGTGGACTCGGTCCTACTTCTTCTTCGTCATCGTCATCTTTTTCTTTATCATTTTCCTCCTCCTCTGTCCCCCTTGTTTGTTGAGTCTGGCGGGGGCCATAGGAAGAATTCGATATAGTAGACACCTTGCTAGAGAAGTGGACTAGATCCGAAGAAGTAACGTCAGTGGTGTGTGATTCATCTCTGTGTAAAGCCAATTCTTTGATATTGCTAGATACATCTATTTTATCGTGTGAATCTACACGTAAAACGTATCCCTTCCTTCTTGATAACGGTGGTGTTGCGAACGACGACTGCTGTTCCCGCAGTTTATACCTGGGCCTTGGGTAATACGTTGATGCATCAACAGTGTGAGCTCTGGATCTGAAAAATCCATCAGACTGAGTTTTAGAAAGCTCCGCATGACCTCTTAAGGACACTAATGAACCACTAGAGCCACGGATTTTTCGATCTGCTTGGGAAAATTTGTAGCTGTTATTCTGTCGATTGTTTTTTGCGTTGTGGGTAGCCGCCGCGCTCTTAGGGGGCGATGGAACAAAGTGTGTCTGCTCTGGCATTACATGGTCTAGACCGCTCTCTGATTTCCTAGGAACAAGTTTTCTATGTAATGACCTAGGTGAAATCTGCTCCTTGTCGTATATTAAAGTGTCATGTTCTCCCTGCTTGTTCAAATCTGGACAACTTGCGCTTTGATTAGAGACCAGAGATGGTCTTCGCTCCTTGTCCCGCCCTCTCCCGCTGAGGAGATCTAAGCGCACTATTTCGTGTTCCACAGAGTGGTGTTTGGCAATATCAGGAAGAGCGGAGGGACTTGTCCTCGGATTTCCAACTGACAGTTTTTCCGGTGACTTTTTTCTAGAATAATCTTTGAATTGAGTATTTGGTAAGTAGCTAATGACCACTTTGTTTAACCGAAGAGGAGGGCTCCCTGTTACTTTCATGTTGCTCATGTTTTACGTTTCACCATCACGGTGGTGGGAGCTCTTCAGTAAGTCCTTATAGTGCAGTGGTCTCTTTATATTAACAACCTCGTCCTTTGAAGATAACTTTCTGCGTTGTTTGCTACTCTACTTGTCAAATTCTGCGCCGGGCACTGAAACAGAGCAAATCTCTTAAAATGTATAAAAAACATGGATTCAATTTTTCCAAGTTGCATTCCAGTAGCCATAGGAACATGTCAACATATCTATATAAATACGTCTTTCACAGGGGACTCTCCTCTCTGACCTGAACTAAACGGGTCAGAAGTCAGGATTAGCTATTTACATTACGCAGATTTTCTTTTCACTTTACCGCGCATTTGTTCGCGACTTTTTATTTGTTACACAGACTTGTTTTATGTGAAGGTTCTATGTTATGTTACATTGAAATGAATGCAAGGATTACAAGTTAAGATGGCGGTCGATATTTGTTTTCTACATGTGAACCGTTATCAGTATAAATGTATGCAAACATCCGATTTTATACTAACATATTTACGAAGTTCATTTGGATGTAAAATCATGGTTTTACTAATAGGTTTATGTACATGTATGTTGTTGACACCGTTCATTTGATTCGAAAAATGCCCGATATACTTAATTAATCATCAGGCTTCTGCTTCAGCTATCAAATATTTTTCGAAAGACTAATGCCGTCGTATAAACTATAATTATTTGTGAATCTGGAAATTAAATTGATTTCCTTTCTGGTGAACTGGTTAACGTGGTGCACCCAATGCCCATGACGTAAATTACGATCAATTCCCAAAAGTGCAGCACATTTAATCCCTATTAAGTTGATTGCTGTGACATTTTAAGTGAAATGTGTTTGATAAGCATCTGATTATAGATTTTAACAACAAACTTTTTTAAAACAAGTTTGCACAGACACAAAATTGAAGACCTGCTGCCGTCCTACTTGGTTATGAGTATCACGCCCAATATTTAGAAAACTGCCGAGAAGAAAGTTCAGATGTTACAAACAAACTCACCCTGTCCTGTCGTTCGTCAATCGGTTGTATCGTCTTTTGACAATCAAGTGCCTCGTCTGTATTTACTAGTTATGAGGTAACATGACACGTCGTAGGCACCGTATTAATATATATTATCTTTCAATAGACGATGCTGATATTGAAAGTAGTTCATTAAAATCAATTTTTAATGTAAATAAACTTGTTTTATTCGCCAAAAATTCTCTTAAACAGTAAGACCTTGGAAGAAAACCCCGATTTGAAAGGATACGTCCTCTGGGCGGCTTAAAAATAATCCATCAGTATCAAATATCCTGTTTCTTTTAAATAATATGAATGGTTTGCGACATTTTATTCAATCAAAATTCCCTTTAACCAGGTGAGCCTATTGTACGTCTCGACCCCCTTCGCTGTTTAGGGTCGTTGAAACTGGTTTGTTGCTGCCTATATCCCTTTCTCTCTGGGCCCATTCAGGGTTATACTGATCGGTGTATGAGCACGTATTCGTACGTGCATATAGAAAATAAGAGACTTGTTTTTACAGAGAAATGAGTAGAAATTACTCTCCTGCTCTGTTTTGACGTTGCACATGTATTTCGTTGACAGACATGAAATGGTGCCAAGCGAGAAATGATAAACGTGCATTAAAAATGGCCTGAGAAAGCGACTCTGTAAGAAAAAAATAATAATGCGGAGAAAGGAAAAAAGTGAATCCACGAGCAGTACAGTTTTAACTCTGTTTTGAAACTTTAATCGGTGTCAGTCACACGTGCACGTCAGCTTTTCTGTCCAAAGTTTAACGGTAGTGTATGATGTCAAATAGCGAACGTAACTGAATTAGTTTACCCAAACAGAAACATTTCATATCGATGATAAGTATGAAAAAGTGTTGGGTTGACCGAAATTCCAATACATCTTATTTCCAGTAGTATCTATTAACACAATATTTTTACTCTATATCTTTCTCGGTTAAAATTTATTAAAAATATGTAGCTTTTATAATGTATAAAAATTGTAACTGCAGCAGGAACATATTATCGACCGTTATTTTACTGAATATCATATGAGAAACACTTACCTGGGCTTCCCTTTCCTTGTTTTCTCCGCACAACGTCTTAGTAGAGTGACTTGAGAATAATAAGATCAACTCTTATTTAGTAAGAAAGGTCAAGGGCTTGTTGCACTATTAAATTCCATTAAAATGTATGACCAGGGCTTCCTATTGTACGGCACTCCTGTTCTCCCGCATACTGTTCAATGTAAAAAAATCCTTTTTGTCCGGTGTCTTTACGTTGCAACGGTGTTCCATTTTTCTTAAAATGTCTGCATTACTAGATTTCCTTTGTGTCGTGAATCAATTTACATAATCAGCATACTGAATCCATGTAAAGGAAAGTGTTTGCTTCTTACTTTCATGTAACTGAAGGGACTTCAGCATTCAAAGCGGACGCTGAAGTGTTACTTAGCCATGTGGATGATACTAATCCCTGAAAGAACGCACGTGGCTTTAGAGGCCTAATTTTTCATGTAGCCGTTTCTCTCGTGGATACTAACTCCGATAAGTTGTTATCAATAAAAAAAAAAAACACTCGATACCTGTCCATTTGATAAATATTACCTTGATAGGACAAATATATCTACGTGTTTATTTTCTTTTTCACTTTGCAGTACATGTAGCATTGACTTTTGAATCATACGAGACAAACACTGATTGCCATGGTACACACAATGCTGCATGAACCATATATATTTATATACATACAGCCGATTACACTTATTTTACATGGGCGACTAACAACGAGCTTTGAACAGATTTGTGACGTAGCGGCCTGTCGATGAACGTAACATTCATACATAGACCATTGGACTTAATGGTTTCAAAGGTAGAATTAAGATTGTCGTTTTATTGTATTGCTTTAAGCTAGTTCGCAAATAATATTTTGCCTTGGCACACAAATACGCCCTTGAGTTTTGAATTAGCTCTCACAAAACAACCACGCGCATCTATTTAGTAACGTAACCTGAACTGGTGACAACATCGGCAGTATGGTTATTCATCACTTACTGTGCACGTGTTTAAATTACGAGGTGAGAAAGAGATGTGCAGTATTCGCTTCCTGCAATATCGAGTATGTGGTTTAGGGTTAAGGCTGTCAAAATAGGTGGCACAAACCCACGCACGTACGGAATCGGTTATCCGTATATTGGTTGAACAGCAATCCCATTATTGAATTAATCGAAATAGTCATAAAGACGTTAAAGATCATTTAATTAATCTTCTCTGTCAACCACTGACTGACAAAGCAGAGCGTTTCCTTCCGTAATATGGAAACCTGTTTTTCATCTAAAAAGATTGTATTGCGCCATGGAAACCGATAGAGTTATTGGATAATATACTGTATTGTGTCATTTAATTTCAGTGCGGATGGCGGTAATGGCATTGTTGAAAAACACTTTGATATTCTAAAACAGCCTTTTAACGTAACTTCATGTGGCTGTATTTTTTACTTATGAAATTATATCAAGCGATGCATACAACAAAAGCTCAACTGAGGAAATCTTCCCTTGTTTTTTAGACCAACTCTCAGGAAATGCTGGTGAGAGATCTCGCGTTGCGACCAAACAGCTATCAATTTCACAAGATGAAGCCTATTGCACCTTTACTGTAATGTTTTTGGAGAGTTCAAGCATTCGTTTCTATTTGAGTTGATTTACAGCAACATAACAACGGTACTATATTTCATTGCTCCCTTCTAACTAGCTTGAGCAGTTTTTTCCTTGTTTTGTATCAATTTTTCATCAGTTATTAACTTTGCTCCATAAGCCATTTACGTGTACGGAGTTCAGCATCGGAAAGATCATTGTCTCCTTCCTTCAAAATTTGCTCTCGTGGTTGTTGTATGTTAGCGATATGAAATTGCGTTCGCGGAGTCTCTAACGCAATTGTGTCATCTGCATTTTCTTTTCCTTTGTCGTCCCTATACTGCACGTGATTAATAGTGAACTTTTTCGTCGAAATGCCAATGGGACGTCCGAATGTTTCGAAACGTAAATCAGGATTCTCATAACCATTTCTGTTGTTGATCGCCGAGGCTGTTTTTCGCTGTTGTGATTGCCCTAGGAATTTTTCATCATAGCCTGTGGATTTATTTCTTGTCACCGGAGGTCTGTGTATGGCTATCTCCGGCATACTTCGACCCCAGTGCAGCGGGGGACCTGGTTTGTAAGTGGGATTTATTAGTTTACCATGGTCAGATATTTTTCTTTCTTTCTGTGTGTTTTCCTGTAGGGTCAGAACAATGTTTGGGTATCCCTTAGAGACCCTTTTCACAAGAAAACTTATTTTTGTGTTATTTTTGCCTCCCTCTTTCTCCGACATCATGGCCTGTTGCAGTTGTCGCAGTGTCACTTTCTCCAGACAGTTCACATTTTGTGTCAACCCCTCACGTGTCCAGGCGTTGGCTTTCATCGGGTGAGGCGTTATGTCTAACATTTTTCCTGAATCATTTCCCTCTCTCTTCGACACAAGAGCATCATTCCTGTAGTCTTCCTTGCGTATCCTTTTTTCCAGTTGCCGCAAATCTACGTCTTTTCTATTGGGACATCTCGCTGAGGTCTTCAAGTCTTGCACCTTATAAATGTTCTGAAGATGCTCAGCGTGGCTTTTTGTTTCACTGGAATACCGTGAACACGGGGCTGTGATTTTTTGCCGGAGTGAAGACTGCAGTGATTCCCTCGCTAGCAAGAGTCTACTCTTTCGAGGTGGTCTAACAAGTCTTAAGACGCTACTTGAAGTATCGCTGAATATAGAGTAGTTTCTGCTCATTTCGCTTCCTTGCGCATTTGTCTGATTGGCCGCCGCTTGCCTCAGCAAAATTGTCAGAGTGGCGCCCAGCGTGGACGTGAAATCCTCATCGTTGTGGAAAGCCATAAATATATATTATAAGGTCAGTGGAGAATGACCAACATGTGTCCACGCATAAATTACACGCACCTAAATATCTGCTTTCTCGATATTCAAGAAATTCCTTGGCCATGTGGCGAAATACATCTTTTGGTTTGTCCTAATTTTGAAACTGTGGAAAACAATAATAGTCAAATTCAAGCTATCTCGAAAGGAAATCAACAGCACTCCTGTAATGCACTGAGAATTCTAAATCCTGTTAATCCTCTATTACGTGAGGTCTCGTCAAGTGTCTAGCGACAATTTGTAATTGTAAACAGAACTTTTGTAAGAAATTAGCGATATATTTACACGCAGAGTAGATATCCTGTCATACGAGTCGTTTTACATTGTATGTCATCAATGAAGAGCTATTGCCGTCGCTATGGTCCACTCGCTATCAGCGTATTACCACAGCAACAAGTCTGATAAACGAGAAATTAAACATTGTTGCGTTCAACTATTCTTAACGAATTGGCTTTAGATCGTTTCATCAACCAAGGGCAACGTTCACCCAGGTTAAAACATTCTAAAATACATGTAAATGTGACTGCTCGATGACAATCAAAAGAAATATAGGGCCTATTAGAAGTAATAGCACTGCTATGTAACTTTTCAACAGTTTTTTCCGAAAAAATATGCTCATAATATACATTAACTAATATTTATTTTGGAGAGAACGGAGAAGTATTAGTCAGTCATTGAGATGTCTGATATTCCCTAGAAACGTTGATCTTTTTTTCATTAACGTATGTACTTTCCGCGTTACAATTAAGACGCCATCTATTAATAACGGATGTTATTTCTAAATAATAGATGAGTGCGGGGATACTGACGGTTTATGGATAGATGATCGTTGTAGATGGCTTATTATATTTATACTTCGTATCACTTTAGGCCATGTGGCAAACAGTTGCAATTGTGCCTGTTCGTTATTTTAAAGTCCTGGTGCTGAACATGAGGTCTAACAAACCACTCACCAACCACGGTTCTTTCGACCCGCAAACTTCAAAATGCTAGTAATAGGTATGCAGCAAGACGCCTACAAGTATTTTTTGTATTGTCACTGAGTGCAAATGATATTTCTGCCAGTAAAACTAAAGTCAATTCATTTAATTGTTTATAAAACATTTTACATCCTTTTGCAAAATCAATATAGGATGTCAATAAAATTGGAACATTCCGGATAAAAACCCATGAACTTGACGTTTCTATTAAAGCTAACATACAGTACGTAGATCGTGGGGAGAAGATTGTAACCTTGCATTGCACGGGAAATGGTAATGGTAATGATCTTCAAGTGCGTCGTAGCAGGGTGACCGTTGACATTAAACATAAATCTTTGTACAGAAAACACGAAACAGCAAACAAACGCAAGCCTTGTTCTCAATCTCAATTGATTGTCCTTTTAATAATCTCATCCATTCCCATTTACAAGTACAGACATAAAAAGAAGAGCGTCCTCGCGTTGCAACCAAACCTACAATCAATTTACCCCTGTGATGAACAACAGTACGGCGCGAGGAAGCAGTGGACTGAATATGCACTTTTTTATATTCGGCGGCATTTTCCCTGGGATTATTTCCATCGTGGGGTTGTTTTGCAATACACTTTCTTTTGCAGTATTTAACAAGATGAGGCCAGTTACAACATTTGTGTTTCTTCTGCAGGTGTTGGCATTGTGCGATAACTTGATTTTGCTAGAAATGTTGATATCCTTCGTGCTGCCGGCAGTGTATCCGTATACAAGATGGTTTTCGATATTTGTTCAGATGCAGGAGACTTTCAGTGCACATTTTTCGGCTATACATTACATTCTTGTATTTATGGATACGTCAATAATTATTTTGGTAGCTCTAGACCGATATCTCTCGACGCACAGGCCGCTGAAACGACAACTGACCGTGAAAACGTGTAGCATTTGGCTCCTTGCGTCGGCAGTGTTTGCGATAATGTTTAATGTTCCGAAGTTCAGTTTTGACCATACGTCTTTTCAACCGTGTAACAACTCGACGCTTGATTACTGTTATGTTTTTGGGAAGTCCAAACTGTCATTTCTATTTGAATTGCTTTACAGTAACATATTTTCAACGATATTATATTTCATTGTTCCCATTGTGTTGCTGGTATTTATCAATGTTCGATTAATCCAAACGTTGAGAAAGCGACAGTCCAGAGCTAAGACAGGCAAAAGAACGAGAGAATTTATCATCATTGTCATATTCATGGTGGGATTGTTCATGCTCGGCTCCTTGCCCGTATGCCTCATGCAGGTGGCATATCTTTTTGGCGATGGGATTTCAGACACTTTGCATTCTTCAGATGTACAGTATTCCGTGCCCATAATGGCGATAATTACTCATTGTAACTACGCAGCGAATTTTTTTATCTACGGCCTGTTTGGAAGTGTGTTTAGAGCGCAGCTGGCTGTTTTATTTCGGTGTCGCAAATAAAACTGATACCTGGAGACTCGCCGGTAGCGAGACAGAAGGATATATCCCACCAGTGGCAAGCCTTGAACTGGAAGTAAGCGGTTTCAGCAGAACACATTTTATGTTATACCATCTCGAATTATAACTCTCATCAAACTGTGCACACTGAGAACATTTACGTTTAAGCAGGGTTTTACGTTAATAGGTTTATGTTGAAATAGTTCAATATGAGAACAAGCAAATTAAGATAATTTACTTATTTTAAAAGGTGACAAATTCTTGAATATGAGCAGCTAAGGGGTGATTAACTATCGTCTGTTGATTAAACTACTTCAGCTGATTGCACTTTAAAGTAACCCGCAGAGTTGGATCGACCGAGCATGTACGATGTGTGAATCTGAATGCGCAGTTATTCTACCACTTTTGAGTTAATGCCATCGATACTGTTCTTATAATTGGGTGACATTGATCTTTTGTAACGCACAACTATCAAAAAAAATAGTCGATTTCACCTTCTCTAAACATAACATCATGTATTGGAAATCAATCAATTTTAACGGTATAGAACACTGATATAGAAAGTCAATAAAAACGTCATCCGTAGCAACTAGGAAACATTCGGTTGTCAACTGCTATTGCTTCCATTGATCGAAACAATATTCTGGTTTGTAGTTTAAAGTTGGCAAGCATTTAACATCAATACATGTGAAACCCACTACAACGTTACAAAAAGGAAAAATATCTAACAACAATAAGGCATTTAAAAGCATTTTATTTGTCAGTAGGAAGCTTCAGTCGGAGCTATTGTTGAATGGCATTCAATTTTTCTATGAAAGGAAGCAACATATTTAGAATATTTTTTAACATTTCGGTAATGTCTTATATATAGAAACTTGTAAATCTTAAAATATTATATATTGCCCGACTGAACTATTCTATTTAGTACACATGTATAAGATATTTGTCAAATATACAAGTAGGTTTTTTATTCTATTTCTAAATTTCTAAAATAAAACTAACAAAATTAGGGCAAGTAAGTTTAATTTCTATTATTACGTCCATGCATTTCATTTTTCTAGAAATATATTAATAAACAGGTTGTAAAAATCCTGTGAAATACTGCACATGTCTCTTGTATATTATATGGCACATATTTTTAGAAAGAAAGTGAATTTATCCTTGGCTGCCTTAAGCATGGCACGCAGCCATAATTTTCACCTGAACCACAAATAATAATGACAATAATAATAATGAAAGAAAGTAAAAAGAAAAGATCAGTCATCTTCATCACCAAACACCGGACCTCTTCCCGTAACTGCGCCCCATCTGTCATCCATTTGAATGCTGACTTCTTTACCATCACGATAAGAAAAAACGCCTTTCGTGATGTTTCGTGGCACCTGGTTTCTTGGCAGCGGGACGTCCGCAACTCCTCTGTGACCTAGAGATCCTAGGCTGTTCGCCTTTCTCAGCTTTGGGAAGAAAACAGGAAGGTTATGGCACTGAATCTTTTTAGCATTTCTAAGGTTCACTTCTGTGAGTGAACGTGTCACTAATAACTGAGGGGGGACCATTCGCCCACGCAAGTATAGTTCTAGATTTTCTCGGGCGGAAAGCTTGTTTGGCTTTCGGGATGAAGAAGAGTGTTTTTCGCCAGTATTGATGTCACAAACGTCACAAAACGTCACAGATTTTCTGAGCACTGCAGGCGCAGACCTGGAATTGCGCCGGGAGAGAATAGGCTTCACTGTGACGGGTTTAGGTACAGACCAACTGTTTTGTGATGATGTATCCTCATCTAAAATTTGCCCACTTTCTGCTTCGCGGAAACCGTATGTCTCTTGTGTATTTTTTCCCGATATTTGGCTAGATTCCATGTTCAACGTTGGCGAAGATATGCTGACAAATTTCCCTTTCCCTTTCACGGCAGTTTTCGCCGTGCGAAAATTGAAGGTTGGCACAACGTTTATGTTCTCATGTGATCTTGTCAATGTAGTTGATGCTGAGTTCGTTGTAATCCTGGGTCTCTTTTCCAATATTTGTGACTGTGCTCTGTTACAAAGACGAAGTGAGCTGGATCGCCTTGAAAGATACGGAGTCATTCCAAGTGTTTCTCTCCGACCGTCTTTCAATGGTTCCTGCTTGGACCGTGATGTATGTGACGTATGTAACCGCTCCACGCTGCCGACGTGGCCCGCCTCTGTCAAGGCAGGATTGTCATCGATCGAGAGTCCAAATGGAGCAAAACAACTGCGACGCGGAAAAGACCCTGAGTATGACATTGTGATTTAGATATGAAGTGTATATGTTCCGTTGTTGTGAAGTAGTTTCATCCGCGTATCACTCACCCCATTATTTAAGCCTACCTGCGCTTAAAACAAGCTTTTTCTAGACGCTTCTGTGACAGCCAACTGATGTATGTTTCCGTATTCTAACTTATCGTTATATACACTGACTACAAACACAAATTACTCTTTGTATTTGTATTTACTATTGTACGATCATGCCATATAATTGAACATCGATGCGAAAAATTGATCAAGGCAGCCAGACGGAACTTCAACATAGTGCGATGAATTGTCTCATAAACTGGGGCTAATCGAACGCCACCATGAAGTTAAGTGACTTGCATGAAATAAAGAAAACGACCAATTTTGCCAATATTTGAACTCCGACCTCAAATGTTGGTTTAATTGATAGTTAGATGCTGTAGGTAGTACCTTTACCAAAATGCTTTGTGGTGGTGTTATAAATGTGGAAGTGAGTTTGAGTTTATATTTGTTTAATCATTCACTAGTTCTTGTTATTACTCAAGATGAACGTAAGCAAACAGACAGTTTCCATTATATGCACAGAGTAGAGATACATTACGCCGAGGAAACTATGGTTTAAAACTATTATACTCTCTGAATAATGAAAAAAAAGTTATAAATATTTTGCATATTCATTATTTTTACATCTGTCATTCTAATGTTCATAACATGTTGAACGATACATACACTGTAAAAATATATAGGCGGAGAACTGTTATGTCAGCAACCTTTAAAAAACGTTGATCTTTGTTTTAAAAATATAAAATTGTGTGCGCCATCGTTAAATGTGAAGTTATTTTTGTTAGAGCACTTCCCGCCAACAGGTCGCCTCCTTTTCATCTTAAAATTATTACAAATTGAAATGCAAAAAAGTCGGTTTAAATGAGTTTATTCATAGAAGATACTATTAAACATTGCAAAATTCGATGAAAAATATTGACAATGGCATTGGCAACTAATGGCACTTCCTCTCTAAATGTAATGTGATCCTAATAAGTATGGTCTGTGATCGATAGTGTTATTACTGACACATTTCACTACAAAACAAAACAAAATTCATAAAATATCATTAAAACTATTGCAGATGAAACAATCTGATGCAAGTAGCATCATTATTGGCTATATTATATCCACAACGAAACGTTAGCAAAACAATACAAATAATGGTCTAATAAACATATTGGACACTAACACATAGAGGGAACTGAACTTATTGTCGCTGTTGTCGTGACACAAACGGGGTCCACCAGGGCTCGATCACATATCCCGAGTAATTGGTATTTAACTTCATATCATTCATTACATGCTAAAAACCTCAACTTTAAGTATCAATATAAACTTTTTGATATAGGACGTATAGTATTGGAAGTAGGGCTGTCTATACACTTCTTGCAAAACATCAGTGATGAAAGACAACAATAAATAGACTCGTTTGTACTCGTAATCAACTCGTTGTCAACTCACAATACGATTACATTATTGTGGTAACTGTCGCTAGCAATATGTAGTCTTATGTATGGTGGCTCCTTCTGTGTCGTAGCATATTCCCAGACTGGCTAAATGATTTGCCACACACATCACACGAGTAAGGTTTCTCTCCGGTGTGGATACGTTGATGCTTGTTACAGGTAGAGATGTCAGCAAAGCGGCGGTGGCACGTGGGACACTGGTAAGGACGCTCTCCAGTGTGAAGGCGAATGTGGGTCTTCAGAGAGCACATCTGCGTAAAGCACTTGCTGCAGTGTGGGCACTTAAACGGGCGATCGGTGGAAGCAGGGTGGCTACGAATGTGGTTGCTGAGATTATTTTTACTACTGAAATGCTTTTCACTAAGGTGACAGAAGTGTCGTTTTGCGGGTGGACAGTCGGTTGATGATGTGATTTCAGTAGGCCTATTGTCACGTTGACGTTTACGATTAGAAGGAGTACGGGCCACAGAGCCTTCCACTTGTGAAATGAAGTCAACTTGACGGCTGAGGACGCCATCATCGGTGTCTTCGTGGTCCAGAATGTCACAATCACTGTCAGGAGAGTTATAGCCAGATTCCAGTTCCTCCCTCAGCATTTCAACAATCAGAGACAAGTCAGTAGTTTCTCTGGCTGGAGGTAACCTGTAGATGTCAAACTCATTTGGACATTTTCGTTTGACGTTCAAAGCGTTAGTGGCGGTCTTGTTTGAACGAATTAGGTCCTGTCTACTGTCTTCATTATCCGCGTAGAAGTCAGTGTGAGGTTGGCCTGTCTCTAGGGTTGTGAAATTGGTCGTCTGGTCAGTGGAATGTTGGTCAAGTTCTCGAATGCGGCCGATGACATGCTTCAGGTCGCACGTTGACTGGTTGTAAGACACTTGCTGTGCAGGAACAGGAGTCAGGAGGAAGCCACTGCTGCACGATTTACCAGGTAACCTACAATAAAAGATACAAAAACATCATATGCGCTTTTCATGAAAATAATGCATTTAAGTTATTGAAAATTTGAAATTGAAAGTAATTCGAAAGATGACGTGGTGATATTTCTGACGGGACATATCGCATAAATCACACAAGACATTTAGAAGATTGCTCAAGAATATGATTGAATTAATTTTCAGAGTAAGAGGAGCCAGTTAATGTTTATGCAATGTCTCTTACCTTTCATAGGTATGTTGGTCGTTATCATACTGAGACTGAAGGAGATGTGGTGGACAGGCTGCAGTGAAATGACTGGTGAAGTGATGGGAGGGGTTCATCCACATACTCATGGTTATCTGAAATGGTGATATGATGTTTAAAAAAAAAGTGCAAAAATACACAATGTATCAATGTATTATTTTCTTCAACTGCTTTATAAAAAAAATCGTTGAAAAAAGTGATTCGATATCGATTTTATCTATAATATTAAATTTCTTCAAATTGCAATTGAGGTTATTTTAATATGTCATGACCTTTAGTTTAAAGAATTTGCTTCAATGTATCACTTTCAAATATTCGGGATAAATACCCTAATAATAAATCTTTTTACTCAAGATTACAAAATGCACATACCTCTTGTTCAAGTTTTCTTCCGACACAGTAGATGTAGTATACTGGTTCTGGGTGCGTCTCTTGTTACGTCTGCGTTATAACTCTAGCAAAGAAGATTCTGAAAGTTCTTGAAACTTTCACAGCCTTTAAAGAAATCCGTCATGCTCCCAACTTTGCGCTCTGTCCTGCAATTGGCCAGAAATTTTCAATGGTCACAGATCAGCTAGCTTTTTTAGCCTTAATTATCCCTTTAAGGGAAGCGGAGCAACCCGTTAAGGCGTGTCCTTTGATCGATCTTAATCTTCTTTCCTATTTACCTGTATATCTTGGTTTTGTAAAGGTGACAGCACACCTTAAGAATCTAGCGCAATGATCCGAGGAGCAATTAACTGAATTATCTAAACCCGAAAGACCTTTGATTAAATGATCAGAGGAGAAGGGCACGTGTGATCAGGTCTTATCTGATTCTCACCTCAAATTAGCGGACCAGTTACAGTAGGATTAGATCCCTTGAAAATACTTCTTAACAATCAACCATTTCAAAATCAAGACGAAAATTTTTTATGCTTAGCAAACGTCATTTATATTTTCTTTTTTGTGAAACGAGCTCTACGGGGTTAACGCGTGAAGTTGAGTTTTCCTCGGGAAAAAAATTATCCTACCCATATTTGATCGTTCGACTTGTCCCTGCACTTGGATTCGAGGTTTTAGTTATTTTCAATTTAATGATATATATCTAATAACCAAGTAGAAAACCATATCTTACTGTACATGTCACAAATTTGGAACCATTGACATCAGTTACTTATAATTGAGTTTTAATATTTTATAAGGTCTGAATTGGGAAAGTTAAAGAGCTTTTTAGGATATGAAGACACAGAAGGTTTAACTTCGGGAAATTTTCAAACGCGTACGGTATACAATTATCATTACAAAATATATTAAAGAATTCACACTAGTCTGTAAGCAAAGAATTACAAAATAATATAACTAAAGAAAGCAACAAGAGCATTTTCCTTCTTATAGAAAAAAGAACACCGATAGATTATTTTAATATATATATCAAAAGACCAAGACTCGAATAAAATTTTTCGTTACTTTTCCACTTCCAATTCGATAAAGAATCTGTCGGTATTTGTGAAGAATCTTTTTTGAGAAAATGTGTCTACTGACAAATTAATTTCGATAAAAACATCAGTGCCTTCACTGGTGGAGATAATAAAAAATTAAAAAGAGTTTATCGTCCTTTGTGATATGTGTCGGGCTNAAAATAATGCATTTAAGTTATTGAAAATTTGAAATTGAAAGTAATTCGAAAGATGACGTGGTGATATTTCTGACGGGACATATCGCATAAATTAAACACACAAGACATTTAGAAGATTCACCAAGAATATGATCGAATTAATTTTCAAAATAAGTGGAGCCAGTTAATGTATATGCAGTGTTCCTTACCTTTCCGAGTTATGTTGGTCGTTATCATACTGAGACTGAAGGAGATGTGGTGGCCAGGCTGCAGTGAAATGACTGGTGAAGTGATGGGAGGGGTTCATCCACATACTCATGGTTATCTGAAATGGTAATATGATGTTTAAAAAAATACAAAATTACCAAATGTATCATAATTTATTTTCTTCAACTGCTCATTAAAAAAATCGTTGAAAAAGTGATTCGATGTAGTTTAAAGAGTTTGCCTCCACTATCATATATTGAGGAGAAATGGCCTAATAATATATCTTTTTACTAAAGATTACAAAACGCACATACCTCTTGTTCAGGTTTTCTTCCGACACAGTAGATGTAGTATACTGGTTCTGGTTGCGTCTTTTGTAACGTCTGCGTTATTGCTCTTGCAAAGAAGTTTATGAAAATTCTTGAAACTTTCACAGCCTTTAAAGGAATCCGTCATGCTCCCAACTTTGCGCTCTGTCCTGCAATTGGCCAGAAATTTTCAATGGTCACAGATCAGTTAGCTTTTGATGACACCCTTAATTATCCCTTTAAGGGAAACGGAGCAACCCGTTAAGGCGTGTCCTTTGATCGATCTTTATCTTCTTTCCCATTTACCTGTATATCTTGGTTTTGTGAAGGTGACAGCACACTTCAATGATCTAGCGCAATGATCCGAGGAGTAATTAACTGAATTATCTAAACCCCAAAGACCTTTGATTAAATGATCAGAGGAGAAGGGCACGTGTGATCAGGTCTTATCTGATTCTCACCTCAAATTAACGGACCAGTTACAGTAGGATTAGATCCCTTGAACATACATGTACTTCTTTTTTATGCTTAGCAAACGTCATTTATATTTTCTTTTTTGTGAAAGGTGCTTTACGGATTAACTCGCAAAAATGAGTTTTCCTCGGGAAAAAAATTTTCCTACCCATATTTCATCGCTCGACTCGCCACTGCACTTTGATTCGAGGTGTTAGTTATTTTCAATTAAATGATATATTTTAGGTTTGAATTGGGAAAGTTAAAGAGCTTTTTAGGATATGAAGACACAGAAGGTTTAACTTGGGGAAATTTTCAAACGCGTACGGTATACCATTAATCAATCTAGTCTGTAAGCAAAGAATAACAAAATAATATAACTAAAGAAAGCAACAAGAGCATTTTCCTTTTTATAGAAAAAAAGAACACCGATAGATTATTTTAATATATATATATCAAAAGACCAAGACTCGGATAAAATCTTTCGTTACTTTTCCTATTCCAATTTGATAAAGAATTTGTCAATATTTCTGAAGAATCTCTTTTGAGAAAAGGTGTCCACTGACAAATTAATGCCGATAAAAAATCACTTCCTTCACTGGTGGAGATAATAAAGAATTAATAGGAGTTTATCGTCCTTTGTGATATGTGTAGTAGGGCACGCGCTCATAATGACTGTATGGTAAACGTTGTAACACACCTCGCACCGTTCTTGACGTAACGGTACAGAAATAAACTAAAAGCGTCTCAAATGTTCTAAGGAACCGTCTTTGATTAAAATTTTGATTGTTTTGTCTAATACAGTGGATCATACCTGAGAAACAACGTACGGCTGTCAATTTTTTGTACCTGAGGCACAGAGTCTCGGTGAACTGATCAGGTGGGTGGATTCGTGTGATCAGAGGTTATCTGATAACAATCAAGATAGCCGATCAGGCCCTTAAGCTGGAAGTAAGAGGTATTTCTCAAGTGATTACCCAGCCAAGCAATCTCTTTCTTATATAAAATGCAGAATCCTACAATATAGTAAAGAATTTAAATTAATTTGTCATGCTTAAAACTTTGAAAACAACAAGAAGAGAGCGCGAAAGAGCACAAACCTATGGATGGGAAAAAGATTATTGACCGTTCGCCGTAAAATATTAGCTGACCAGGATTCAGTTCAAGTTGCATTTTCTCTCTCCTTGCCTCCGTGATGAATTTGTCAATTTTTCTCAATAATCATTTTGGAAAAAATGTGTCTAATAGCAAATATCATTAAACAAACATGAACACATCATTCCTTCATTGGTGGAAATAATAATAATTACAGCAATTTCTTTCTTATATAAAATGCAGAATCCTACAATATAGTAAAGAATTTAAATTAATATGTCATGCTTAGAAATTTAAAAACAGCAACAACAAGAGAGGATAGGAAAAAGATTATTAACTGTTCTACGTAAAATATTAGCTGACCAGGATTCAGTTCAAGTTGCATTTTCTCTCTCCTTGCCTCCGTGATGAATTTGTCAATCTTTTTTAAGAATCATTTTGAAAAAAATGTGTCTAATAGCAAATATTATTGAACAAACATGAACACATCACACCTTCAGTGGTGGAAATAATAAAAATTAGGTAAGAGTTTATCGTCAATTGTGACACGTGCCGGGCACGCGCTAAGGCGGTACTCATAATGTCTGATATTTTAAGAGTTACGACTGACAAGTATCGAGTAACCTCGCACCGTTCTTGACGTAACGGAGCAGAGATAGTGCAAGTGTCTCACATTGCTGTTTTGAACCGTCTTTGATCAAACTTTTGGTTGTTTTATGAATTTCAGTGGATCATGCCCGAGGAATAACGTACGGCTGTCATTTTTTATACCTGCTGCACAGAGGCTCTATGAAATAATCAGGTAGTCGGATTACCTGTGATCAAAAGTATTCTGATAAAAATCTACATAGCCGATCAATCCCTTGTGCTGACAGTGAAGGCTATGTTTCAGGCTATTACTCAGACAGAAAATCCCATTCTTATATAAAATGACAGAAACTTGAAAACGTTGAAAATCCAATTTTCTTGAAGACAAATTTGTCCACGCATTCTCACTGATACTAAATTTGCATAATGCGTTTGTGAAGGTCGTTAATGACGCTAATATTAAAAACAATAATAATAATAATAAAAATAATATTACAGATACAGGCATTTCAGTGGAATTATTTGAATCAAGATAATCACTAAAGATGGTGAGCAACACAATGACCTTTACGTTTGAGTTTTTAGGACTACAGACTTCTGTTCTCCGTTTAACTTCAACAAAACTCTTGTGAAGAAACAAAACTGCCAGGAAAACCGCTACATGTGCTGATGACGAAGACGTTCACATGTCGGACAATTTTTGCCATTTAATTTATGTTTAAAAGATTTATTTCTGTGATAGTACCGAATATACACAAATTTAACACAACATACACTCTTGCCCAAAATGGTTGGTACACGGATATTTTGGTATGCATATCGCCCTGTTTCTTTCATTATTATTGTTTATATTGTTAAATATGTGAAGCTGGAGGATTGGTAAAGTCAAGGAGAAACAACCAATGCAAATGTGAAAAAAGCGTTAATTTATTTAGGTTTTTTTTCTCATGCCCCCCAAAAGAGTACTTTTTTTACATAACAGTACCAAGTGAAAAATTAAACATAAATTTATACTGTGATTGACAATTAAAGTGAAATAATCACCAAAGATTGAGTTTATAGGACTACAGGCTTCTGTTCTCCGTTTAACTTCAACAAAACTCTTGTGAAGAAAAAAAATATCCACCAGAACAACCGTTACTTGTGCTGATGACGAAGACGTTGACACGTCTGCCGATTTTTGACATTTATGTTTAAAAGATTTATTTACACAAATATACACAAATATACACAAATATAACACATAATATATAAGTATGAATATATTAGTATAGGTCCATCCCTATAGGCTTACGAAGTCGCATGTTATTTTAATACTTCTTAAAAGAAACCTCGCTGTCTATCTGTGAAAGTCTGTGAAGAGCACTCGAGGTCACTCCTCAACCACCTCCTGATCAGGAAAGATACAATACCTCATTTTGCTTAGTTCTCTTATCTGGTCGATTAAGTTTAGTGAAATGATGTTTAGTGAATTTCTTTTTGGTATCTGAGGCATTGGTAAATACTGACCAGTATTTGAATTTTATCTGAACGGTATCAAATAATTAGAAAAAATAAAGTTACATATATTTCATTTATTAGGGTTGCGATACAAAGTGTACATTTTCTATAATTGGCAATATATAACGCTTTTACCACTGGATGATATTATTCCAGAGTCATGTAGAAGAATAAATCTGACAAGCATAATAACTTAACACGCTGAAAACGTTATTGTTTGTGTTTTGATATCTTTTAAATATACATGTATACAATATTGACAACTTATTGGCAACCTATCACTTCAACCGTCACAAAATATCACAGTCACATGAAAACTTAGTATAAACATTGATATAGTACACCCCAATTTTTAAATTATCAAGCAACTTTGGCGACTCCAGCAACAACATGAATTGGGAAATATACATGTACAATCACTTCATCTTACATGGATAATCCTCGATATAATAGGAAACGTAATAAAAAGGAAAAGTTTGCATATTTGGTCAATATGTGACCTTTTTTTCACAGCTTTTTTTGTACATTGCTAATCAGTTAAAATTACAGTTTGCATTATGAGTGGTGGCTCCTTTTGTGTCGTAACATATTCCCAGACTGACTGAATGATTTTCCACACACATCACACGAGTAAGGTTTCTCTCCGGTGTGGATACGTTGATGTTTGTTACAGGTAGAGGCGTCAGCAAAGCGGCGGTGGCACGTGGGACACTGGTAAGGACGCTCTCCAGTGTGAAGGCGAATGTGGGTCTTCAGAGAGCACATCTGCGTAAAGCACTTGCTGCAGTGTGGACACTTAAACGGGCGATCGGTGGAAGCAGGGTGGCTACGAATGTGGTTGTTGAGATTGTTTTTACCACTGAAATGCTTTTCACTAAGGTGACAGAAGTGTCGTTTTGCGGGTGGACAGTCTGTTGATGATGTGAAATCAGTATTGTCACGTTGACGTTTACGATTAGAAGGAGTACGGGCCACAGAGCCTTCCACTTGTGAAATGAAGTCAACTTGACGGCTGAGGACGCCATCATCGGTGTCTTCGTGGTCCAGAATGTCACAATCACTGTCAGGAGAGTTATAGCCAGATTCCAATTCCTCCCTCAGCATTTCAACAATCAGAGACAAGTCAGTAGTTTCTCTGGCTGGAGGTAACCTGTAGATGTCAAACTCATTTGGACATTTTCGTTTGACGTTCAAAGCGTTAGCGGCGGTCTTGTTTGAACGGATTGGGTCTTGTCTACTGTCTTCATTATCCGCGTAAAAGTCAGTGTGAGGTTGGCCTGTCTCTAGGGTTGTGAAATTGGTCGTCTGGTCAGTGGAATGTTGGTCAAGTTCTCGAATGCGGCCGATGACATGCTTCAGGTCGCACGTTGACTGGTTGTAAGACACTTGCTGTGCAGGAACAGGAGTCAGGAGGAAGCCACTGCTGCACGATTTACCAGGTAACCTACAATAAAAGATACAAAAATATCAAATGCGCTATTCATGAAAATAATGCATTTAAGTTATTGAAAATTTGAAATTGAAAGTAATTCGAAAGATGACGTGGTGATATTTCTGACGGGACATATCGCATAAATTAAACACACAAGACATTTAGAAGATTCACCAAGAATATGATCGAATTAATTTTCAAAATAAGTGGAGCCAGTTAATGTTTATGCAGTGTTCCTTACCTTTCCGAGGTATGTTGGTCGTTATCATACTGAGACTGAAGGAGATGTGGTGGCCAGGCTGCAGTGAAATGACTGGTGAAGTGATGGGAGGGGTTCATCCACATACTCATAGTTATCTGAAATGGTAATATGATTTTAAAAAAAAATGCAAAAATACACAATGTATCACAATTTTTTTCTTCAACTGCTGAATAAAAAAATCGTTGACAAAAGTGATTCGATATCGATTTTATCTATAATATCAATTTTTTTCAAATTGCAATTGAGTTTAATTTAGTGTGTCATTACCTGCAGTTTAAAGAATTTGCTTCAGTGTATCACTTTCAACATGATGAATACCATAGCAACATATATTTTTTTACTATAGATTAAAAAACGCACATACCTCTTGTTCAGGTTTTCTTCCGACACAGTAGATGTAGTATAATGGTTCTGGGTGCGTCTCTTGTTACGTCTGCGTTATAGCTCTAGCAAAGAAGATTCTGAAAGTTCTTGAAACTTTCACAGCCTTTAAAGAAATCCGTCATGCTCCCAACTTTGCGCTCTGTCCTGCAATTGGCCAGAAATTTTCAATGGTCACAGATCAGCTAACTTTTGATGACACCCTTAATTATCCCTTTAGGGGAAGCGGAGCAACCCGTTAAGGCGTGTCCTTTGATCGATCTTTATCTTCTTTCCCATTTACCTGTATATCTTGGTTTTGTGAAGGTGACAGCACACTTCAATGATCTAGCGCAATGATCCGAGGAGTAATTAACTGAATTATCTAAACCCGAAAGACCTTTGATTAAATGATCAGAGGAGAAGGACACGTGTAATCAGGTCTTATCTGATTCTCACCTCAAATTAACGGACCACTTACAGTAGGATTAGATCCCTTGCAAATGCTTCTTAACAATCAACCATTCCAACACAAAATTTTTCTATCTTAGCAAACGTCGTTTGTATTTTTATTTTATTTATTTTATTTTTTTGTGAAAGGTGCTTTACGGGGGTTTACGCGCAAAAATGAGTTTTCCTCGGGAAAAAATATCCTATTTATATTTTATCGCTCGTCTCGTCCCTGCATTCGAGGTTTTAGTTATTTTCAATTTAATGATATATTTTAATAACCAAGTAGATTACCATATCTTACTGTACATGTTACAAATTTGGAACCATTGACATCAGTTACTTATGTTTGTGTTTTAATGGTTTTAATCTTTGATCAAAATATTGATTGTTTTGTCTAAAGCAGTGGATCATACCTGAGAAATAACTAACGGCTGTCATTTTGTTTCTCGGTGAGGTGATAAGATGGGCGTTATACTTGTGGTCAGAGTTTATCTGATAACAATCAATATTAATTAGTCCCTTGCGCTGGAAGCAAGAGGTTTTCTCAAGCCATAGCCTAGCTAAGTAATCTCTTTCTTATATGAAAATCGTACAAAATAGTAGAGAATTAAATTTAATATGTCATGCTTAAAAATTTGAAAACAACAGCAACAATAGAGCGCAACAAGAGCACAAACCTTTTGATAGGAAAAAAAAGATTATTGACCGTTCTACGTAAAATATGAGCTGACCAGGATTCAGTTCTAGTTGCATATTTACCTCTCTTTGTCTATGCTGATGAATTTGTCAACTTTTTTCGAGAATCATTTTGAAAAAAAAATGTGTCTAATAGCAAATATCATTGAACAAACATGAACACATCACACCTTCGATGGTGGTAATAATGAAAGAGAGTTTATCTTCAATTGCGACACGTGCCGGGCACGCGCTAAGGTGGTACTCATAATGTCTGATATAGTAAGAGGTACGACTGACATTGACAAGCATCGAGTTACCTCGCACTGTTCTTGACGTAACGGAACAGAAATAGTGAAAGTGTCTCAAGGCGAACTTAATGAACCGTCTTTGATCAAACTTTTGGCTGTTTATCTAATGCAGTAGATCATGCCAGAGGAAGAAATTACTGTTGTTCATTTTTTATATTCGAGACACACAGCCTCAGTGAAATGATCAGGTGGACGGTTTACCTGTGATCACAAAAATCTGATAACAATCCAGACAGCCGATCAGTCCTTTATGCTGGAAGTGAGAGGTGTTTCACAATCGAGAACCCAGCGAAGTATTCTCACTCTGATATGAAATGAAAGAATCGTGCTATACAGAAGAGAATTTTAATTCATAGGAAATGTTTAGGGATTTGAAAACAAAAACAAAAAGAATGTTACAAAAGCGCAACACTGCTGATGGGAAAAAGATTATTGACAGTTCTATATAAAACATTAGCTGACCAGGATTCGGTTAAAATTGCAAATTCCCTTTCCCTCCTGAATGCCTATGCTGACGAATTTGTCAACTTTTGTCGATAACCCTTTTAGAGAAAATTTGTCCTATAGCAATCATCATTAAACAAGCATGAAAACATCACCCCCTTCATTTGTGGAGATAATAAAAATGAATAAAGTTAGTTGTCAATCGTGACACATGCCGGGCACGCGCTACGGCGGTACACGTGTGGTATGTGCCTGTATTTCACACCGACTACGAATTCCACAAATCGCCAAGGTTTTATGAATTCCAGGGTTCTTAGTTTAATTGTGACAAATTCTTTACGCCCTTACTTGATTGTGATTCATTCTCAGTCAGTTCTTGCAATTCTTGAGAGATAGTGAAATCGGCACAAAATTTTCGAACCAGTCTTCTATTTATCAGGAACTGATGTTCATACTCCAGGTCTAGGGCCATAACGGAAAAGAAATAGTGAGAAGCAGCGTAAAATGCTGTAAGGAACCGTTTTTGATAAAACTTTAGGTTGTTTTATGCAATCCAGTAGATCACACCTGAGGGAAAAATTGCAGTTAACTTTTTTCTTTTCTGTACCTGAGGCAGAGAGCCCCAGTGTACTGATCAGGTAGACGGTTTACCTGTAATCAGAGGTTATCAGATAACAACCCAGATAGCCGAACAGTCCCGTATGCTGGAAGTAAAGGTTATTAATTTCACAAGCTATAACTCAGCCAAGGTATTCTATTCTTATATTAAATGACAGAAACTTCAAAACTCTGAAAATTTAATTTTATTAAGGACGAATTAGTCCACTCATTCTAAATGATACTAAATTTCAGTTCTCTGTTTAGCTCTGCCGAAGACTAAAACATTACACCAGGGCTAACATGATAGCTGCTGATGACGAAGACAAATTGGCCAATTTCTGTGATTTCCTTAATGTTATAAAAATGGGGTTTACGCAGCGTTTTGGCCTTTTAAGTATCATAACGGTACACGATAATTCTGGTTAATATTAATTGTTTTTGACAGTAGTAGTTGTTTCGGTCGTTAAATTTTGCCGTGTAAATGATACCTGGTTTAATGAAGTGTGTAGGTTTAGTCAAATTCTTATCGGGGCTCGGGTAAATACGATTTGAATTTTATCTGAATGGTATTATATCAAATAATTAAAAAAATAAGTCATAAATATTACATTTATTAGGATTACAAAATAAATGTAAACTTTCTATATTTGGCAGTACATAACGATTTTACCAATGGATGATATTATTCCATAATCATATACTGATTATCTAACAAGCATAATAACTAAACAAGCTTAAGTCGTTATTGTTTATGTCTAGAGCGTTTGGAAATAAACAAGATATACATACAATATTGACAACTTATTGGCAATCTATCACTTAAATCGTTACCAGATATCAGAGTCACATGAGAACATACTATAAACAGTAATACAATACACCCATATTTACACATAACGAACCAAGTTATTTGGCGAATCCAGCAAGAATATGAATTGGGGAAATATGCAATCTCTTTATATTATATGAACAATAAAAGGATATGCATATATGGAATGGTTTTTCGTATTTGGTCAGTTTGTGAGCGCTTTTCCCGGAAAATACGCACATTGTTAATGCAGTAGATGTTATAGTTTGCATTATGAGTGGTGGCTCCTTTTGTGTCGCAGCATATTTCCAGACTGGCTAAATGATTTGCCACACACATCACACGAGTAAGGTTTCTCTCCGGTGTGGATACGCTGATGTTTGCTGCAAGTAGAGACGTCAGCAAAGCGGCGATGGCATGTGGGACACTGGTAAGGACGCTCTCCAGTGTGAAGGCGAACGTGGGTCTTAAGGGAGCACATCTGCGTAAAGCATTTGCTGCAGTATTGACACTTAAACGGGCGGTCAGTGGAACCAGAGTGACTGCGAATGTGGTTGTTGAGATTGTTTTTACTACTGAAATGCTTGTCACAAAGGTGACAGAAGTGTCGCTTTGCGGGTGGAGAGTAAGATGTTGATGTGACATCAGTATTGTCACGTTGACGTTTACGATTAGAAGGAGTACGGGCCACAGAGCCTTCCACTAGTGAAATGAAGTCAACTTGACGGCTGAGGACGCCATCAGCGGTGTCCTCGTGCTCTAGAATGTCACATTCGCTGTCAGGAGAGTTATAGCCAGATTCCAATTCCTCCCTCAGCATTTCAGCAATCAGAGCCAAGTCTGTAGTTTCTCTGGCTGGAGGTAACCTGTAGATATCAAACTCATCTGGACTGGTCTGTTTGACGTCCAGATCATAAGTGGCGGTGTTGTTTGAATGGCTTGCGTCCTTTCCACTGTCTTCATTATCCGCGTAGAAGTCAATGTGAGGTTGGCCTGTTTCTAGGGTTGTGAAATTGGTTGTCTGGTCAGCAGAATGTTGGTCAAGTTCTCGGATGCGGCCGATAGCCTGGTTGAGGTCGTTTGTTGACTGGTTGTAAGACACTTGCTGTACAGGAACAGGAGTCAATAGGAAGCCACTGCCCCATGGTTCACCAGAGAACCTAAGATATACACATAAACATATGTTAAAATTTTTATTTTGATGAATTTCAATTAGATGTGCACATATTATTTATCGTCTTCAAAGACGCGAACCTTCAATAATAACAATGATATAACAAATCGTTTATCTGTTCATAGTGAATGTTAACTGTAGTGGCTTCTTTGTCACTTTTCTCTGATTATATTTTCAACTAAAACCACATTCGTATTTTCATTTCTAAAATGACGTTAAGCACGTTTCTATATTAAAGAAAGGTGCATAACGAAATGATTCACTCTCAGAATTAGAAGGCCAAGTTCCAATGCAAATTTAACGAGGAAAAATAATGTCTGGCAGCTTAAAACACGTAGTTCCAATGCAAATTTTACACGGAAAAATAGTGTCTGGCAACTTATCAGCGTGAGTGGGGTCAGTTAATGTTTATGAAAAGGTTTCTTACCTTTCAGAGCTATGTTGGTCGTTATCATACTGAAGCTGAAGGAGATGTGGTGGCCAGGCTGCAGTGAAATGACTTGGGAAGTGGTGGGAGGGGTTCATCCACATACTCATGGTTATCTGAAAAGAGGAGGTATCATTTCGTTTACTCCGTTGATATTTGTTTCAATTTATCTCTCTCATTTATATATCAGAACTCTCAGTTCTTCACCAAATATTCCTGACCGGAAGGTTTTCTGTAAGTGTCCTCTGTTTTTTTTAGTTTTAATGCCATATTAATCTACCAGTTAACCCTAATTAGAAGGCAGTCTTACCTCTCGTTCGGGCTTTATTCCAACACACAGGAGACAGTATATTATTCCTCGGTGCTTCTTTATAATGCTTCTTCTGCGATCTTGCTCTGGCAAAGATGACTGACACTTGTTTAAAATTTTCCAGCTTTTAAAGGGATTCATCGTTCTTCCAACTTTGCGCAGTTTGTTTTGATTGGTCAGAAGTTATGGGCACGGATCGGCTAGGTGTTAACTGCTTTTAACCCGTTAATGATACCTTTAAGGGAAAGCGAAAGGGATGTCCCGTTTAAGGCGTGTCCCGTGATCAGTCTTAATCCCGCCGCCATTCACCTGCAGATCATGGCTTCAGAAGCGACATTTGCGACCCACCTGAACTATCTGGAGATGCACGATTTTATCTGAGATATGGGTTCTTTCAAGACTGTTAACTGATCAAAGGGGTATCTGTCATCTTATCATATTGAGCTAATTAATCGTGGAAAACGCTTTAATCTTTTAATTCGGAAGAATTTCAACAAAACCATGCCTTGTGTTTTTCCCCAAATAAATGTGACACATACAGTTCATGGATTTTTGTCGTCCATTTTAAAAATTAAAACTAAATTTGAACGAAAGAAAAGACAGTTGAAACAAGGGGAAGCCCATGAATGTCATAAAGTCTTAAAGTGACTGGACTGTACAACAGCCAAATTTACCAAAAAGTACGATCATACAAACCGAAGTTTGATGAGCCGATGTTTATTATTGTTATTTTGAAAGTTTTCAAGTGTTCGTATTGACTGTTCAATCTTGAAACGGTAAATTTTCTGAAGTATTGTTATTTTTCCATCCTTCTGAATTTTTATTATTGTCTTAAGAGCCACGTGCTATTGACGTGCCGAGATGTTACAGGCGATGTAAAAAATGCATGTAATATTTTTCCCTTTGTGAACAATCGAACATCTTACAATCATTGCAGAAATCCCCGTGATTTAAGATTGGTGGGGTTGGGGTGTAATCACGACCTGCGAGTATTTCAAGATGAAACTGGTTTATTTTCATCCAGTACACCATGGCTTCTAAAAGAACAGTATGAATACGCCTGGATAGTTTGACGCAACGAATAATTATCTTCTTCCTAATGTTTTCAGGCAATTAATTGAACTGAAGAGCTTCATCCTGTACTCAGCTGTTGTTTGATAGTTATCTCACTGTTCAACAGTTTGACAGTCCGAATGGTCCGTCTCATGCTAACCTTCTTTAGTTTTTTCAATATATTTACCGTTGTGCTACATTTACGTGTTTTTTAATGCTAGGCAAACAGATGTAAATAGCGATGCTATATATAGTTTTGATTGCATAGTTTTAACTTGACACCACAAAAATAACGCGCATATTAAAAGTCTTAGACTTAAGTCTTGCGGTGTATTTGCCTTTAATAGATCTTTTCATCAATAGATTGCCATTTTTTGTTTGAAATATTTCCATATGTTTAATAAATATCATATACAATTTCCATGCAGGACTGTCTTAATGGTTGAAACAACAATAGTGATAAGTTGTAGCATAAATGATTATAAATATAACTTTTTACCTATTGTTCCAAAATCATTATCATGAAAATAATTATATTTCATCATCATCATCATATTATTATTATTATTATTATTATTATTATTATTGTTGGTGTTGTTGTTGTTGTTGCTGCTGCTGCTGTTTTTTGGTAAATGACTGTAACATTTCTTTTTACTGAGTGATTAAAAAATCCAAATAACCAGAAAACACAGACATGGTTCACATTTACAGCTTTTTATGCTTAAAATATACAAATCAGGTCCTTAATAAATGCGGTTTACATGAATTTGTGTAGTAACAGTTTATACACAGTCAAAATTCCCTCTTTTTGAAGACTAGGTAAGTCATGTGACTTTAAAGGGCCTTATGTGGTCATGTGATTTGTTGATCCGCCATCTTGGAACTCGGTGGTGTCAAAGTGCCTGTCAGGAAAACAAGACTGACTTCAGGAGTTCTCTGACAGGCACTGTGGACCACTGGACCAACGGTTCATGATCTGAACCGCGATTAATTCGACAGGAAAGAGAAGGCAATTTTGCCATCATCATCAAAGGGAAGATATTTCGTTGTAGTGTTGACGTGTACAAACCACTCATTTGCATATGTAAACAAAGTCGATACATTATGTATCTCAAACTTTTGCTCTTGATGATTTATATTTTGATACTGTTCGTCTTAGCTCGGATTCTTGAGGCAGTATCTTGGTATGAAACCGGATACTTGGCAAGTAAGATCTTGGACCCCATGGCGCTGAGCGTAAGGAAGCTGAAATTGCTGCTAGACCAGCGAGGGGTCAGCTATGCAGGGGTGGTGGAAAAACGGGAACTCAAAGATTTGGTAGATAACATGGGTAAGTATTAATCATGTACATAATTATGCCTCAGTTCTGGTGGTAGAAATATTTTGATGATGGATCGTCAACATAAGTTAACCCACCGTATTTAAGAGTTTTTAATGAAATACATACATATGTTGATGAGTTACACTGGAAGTTCATTCTTATGTTTAACATTTTTAACTTTTTATATAATTTTACCATCATAAGAAATACTCTTGGAGTTGACCCTAAAATTGTAGGTGAGGTTACAGAGGGTGAGCTGGACCAGGCCTGCATGCATGATGAAACTGTTCAGGAGTCTTCAGAGGGGACAAACTTCACTTGTGGGTCTCATTTCTATGAACAGGTAGAGGACACTAAGGACAGTGTCTGGCTAGTGCAGGTTTGTATTAGCTTCCATTGGACCGGCTATTCTGTAGTATGGTAGTTTACAAAATATGGAAGGAATTTTGTTTAAAACTAAGCCCTTTTGACTTTTGTGAAATACATGTAGGCCCAGTTGCTTTGTTTAAATTAAATAACTATACCTTTTTATCTTACTGTAAAGTTGATATAAAACATTTGAGAACTACTAGGTGATGTGGTGCTAACAAGTGCTTTATTCCATTTAAGGTCTGTTCCTACTTTACTGTTGCACTTATATTACAATGAATGTTAAAATATTTTATTAAAATAAGTATTGAGTGTGTATGGTTTTATATATGTGCCTGTGCATTTCCATTTTGCCTTTGATCGTTTATGATTCTCCAGTGACAGTTTCATTGTGCAAACAAGTATTTCTTCAGTTCATGTACACCATGCCTATATATATAGGTATGTTAACATACAAGTTAATTTAGTTTTTCTAACAGTCACTTTTAAGTGACTAAAATTAAAATGTTATTAAAATTATGCTGGTCACCTGATTATGCTAAACTCACTGAGTATAATTCTTCTAATTTCACACTCACAGCTATCCCACCTCTTGACATGACACTTAATCTACTGGTTTGCTAAATTACTTGCAGATTGGGATCATGTAGCTAACATATATTCGTACTCCTCTACAATAGGTAGTATCGAGTGATGAGAAACCACTTATAGCTGAAGATGACTGGAAACTAATACAGACTAAGGTGTCTCGCTTTGGTGTCAGGACTGGGAAGTTTAAATGTTCTCTAGACAGAAGGTATGTGTGTATTGATAATCTTTATTTAAAATCTAGGCTGGATGTAGCTTAATTGGGTTAGAATAGTGTGATGCTTTTGTTTATGCTACTATACTAGAATATCAGATTTTCCTTTTTTCTTTACTATTAAGGCTATTGTATTGCTATTATTATTGTATAACCAGTAGATTATTTCTCTATCATTTAAAACAAGTTTTTGTGTCTTTTCTGTTTCAGTTTATGTCAGAGAAAGTTATGGATGACATTGCTATTATTATTGTATAACCAGTAGATTATTTCTCTATCATTAAAAATAAGTTTTTGTGTCTTTTCTGTTTCAGTTTATGTCAGAGAAAGTTATGGATGACATCTCGTCTTGTTATGGCTCTGCCTCATGGCTACCGTGCAAAGGACAATGTAATCCTTCGAACATACACAGGTTCAACCAAAGTACAGGCTGTATTTGATTGGATAAATCAAATCCTGGCCACAAGAATTAAAAGAATCCACAACTGGACTGACTTTTCAAATGATTGGTACAGTTATGAAGATGTCAAGAAAAGAACAGAATATCCTGTCAGGGTTGTATTATATTCAAAGACTGTGTTACCACCTATGTTTTTTTCGGCATTGAGTGTAAAATTCACTGGGAGAGTTATATTTGGATTAGTGGTGAATTCTTCACTGAAACCCCCAAATATATCTGATCGTTTGAAACTAGGCGAAAAAGAACCATTGTTACATATTTTGACTCCAGAAAGAAATTATACTTATGGTTCAAAGTCAGGGGAATATTATAATTACAAAAGTATGGAATTATTTTTGAGAACTGTTGTGCCAGAAGTAAATGATTTATTTATATTTTTCTTATTTATAGTAAATATATGTGGCATGTCTAGTGTATTTCAAAATCAGGATACATTAATAAGGCGGCTGTGGAGATGTTTGTGGACAGTAGTTAAGTATAACTGTTTCCTGATATTTTTATGGCTTCCAATTCTTGCAGTATTTCAGTTCCCTTGGATGAAAAGCATGAGTGAAGTTGGCTTGAAAATCATCAGAATAGTAAACTGCACAGATTTTGCAGGTTTACTGAGAAAAGACTTACACTTTTACATATCACACAAAGCCATAGCTGTTGTAATTTATTTAGTGTTTGGGGTGGTGGCAGGATGTCTGTGGAGTAAAAGGGAATGTTGATGACCAGCAGGCAGACACTAATAATAATAATGTACCTTGGTGGGCACCTGTTCGGTTGGACAATTACCTCTTCCGTCCATCCACTAGTTTGACCAGTCCGTTAAACTCACAAGTTGATTTAGAAGAAGGAATGGAAATGCTTATTGAGCGTCTGGCTGTACCAAGTTTCTGGCTTCAGCCTGTTATTTCCAGTGACTATGTCAAGGATCTTCCTGTCTGGAGATTTAATGGAAGCTTCAACAGCTCTGGATCAGAAGAGGAACAGACAGATGTAGATGTGAAGCAGGATATCGCACCCCAGAGCTGTGAGAAATGTCAACTTGGAAACCTTATTCGTCACTCCCGTGATGATAATGTTCAGAATGTTTCACCCCATTCAGCCAGTTACATAATGGATGCTAACTATAAATGCATTTGTGGGCACCAGCAACCAGCACAGTCAACTCCAGAGGAGAAGTTTGTAGTAAGGTCAAATGATGGAGACAAAAATAACTGTGGAGTGGAGGCAGACACCCAATCAAATGTGAATAATCGCAAAAGTCGTAGTCCTAAGAGAAACAGAAATGGTCTTCCACCTGGTATGTTAGAGTGCTCTGATTGTGTGATATGTTTGGACAGCTACAAGATTGGAAATGTGCTGTGTGGCCTTCCATGCGGTCACTCGTTTCATGAGGAATGTATTATGGTGTGGCTCTCCAGAGATAACCATTGCTGTCCAGTGTGTCGCTGGCCATCTTACAGAGCCAAACCTTGCCGCCTCCATCTACACGAAGAATGATTTATTAGTAAAAAGGTCATTATATTACTTGGACCATGTTATTAGTTTCATTTCCTCTTGAATGCCCGTTATCCTCAAGCAGTGGCTGTTTAATTTCATTATAGAGTTAGAACACCTAGTAATAATATCCTTAGAATTTGTTGCAAAAGTAACTTTTATCTTTCAACAATGAGGTAAATCATGTTACAGTTAGATTTAACTGGATGGTGGTTTATGCTGTTAGTGCCTTTCCTCAAGTTTAGATAAAAGAAAAATAACATTCTTATTAATGGAGATAAATAGTTAGTCTTATTTTGAAAATTTAAAAATGGAAGTATTTCAAGCATCTTCATGAACAAGGTTATATCTTGTACATTTATTTAAATAGTTAATAAGTTATTGCCTGCAAGCCTTCTCAAGCAAATGGATAAATAAAGTTTACCATTTACTCATAATTTGTTGGCAGAACCAATACAGATAGCAGTGGAAATTAAAATTTACTGTATTTGTAGAAAACATGGCTTCACTTCATTTCCTGTTTACACCAGAAATTGACATCTGAATTTTTAATTTGGTGTATGACAAAAGATACTTGTTGTAATATTCCAAATTGTAAGTCCTAAATAAAATCGAAGAAAGTGCTTTATGAAAAAAATTATATTAGTATGTGGGATTGGCTTACTGGTTTTCTCTTCAGATAGCACCTAGTTTTATCTCAATGGCCTGTTGAATCTTACAATTCATTACTAATTCTGTCTGAGAATTTCATTTTCTTATCCTACATGAAAAAGCAAAGAAGGCATGTATCTTTCCCATTACCCTAAGCAGAGTGAATAAAGATGTGGTATCAAAAACGTATACATTGGATGTATTCGAGTTTGGAACTAGAGAGAGAAGCTACTTGGGAGATGACGACACCAGGAAGAATCTTTCAATTGTTTGGATTGTATTACACCAAATCCCATCTTTGACAATGACATAAAGGCAAAAAAGTGAATTTCATAGTATTTTCATTCTTGATCTTGGTAAACTTACACCTTCTTCATTCAATCAAAAACCTGCATTCTAGCAATAACAGATCATTTTATTAATCAAATCATAAACACCAGTTCCCTTGGCTGACCTAGGATTTCAATTTTTTTTTTCATTTGGAGCCAATGCTACCAAACACTAGCTCCCCATTGCCTTCAGTTATAAAAGAAAAAAGATATCACAAAATTTACAAAACACCATTCACTTTCTAATAGCATGAGACACATGTACTGAAATTAGTTTCTTTCAATTTTCAACATTTTTTTTACATGAAATAATCAATTAACTGTCATTTTTATATGATCAACAAAGAAAATTGTTGAGATGGGAAAAATATCAATAGAACTATTTTGAATGTACAATTTGCTCTATTCTGAAATCCTAAACAAAGTGAATGATTGAATGACAAATTGCAATGATATCAATGTCTGTACATAAAAACCAATCAATTTAATATTAAGAAAATCTCAACTTTTAGAAAGGTCCACTATACACTCTTGATTAAAAAACATTCAATCACTGAGCATTCACCCTTATGCTGGGAGTACATAAGGTGCCACAGTTGTTGAATAATGATTCAATGTTAGGAATGTACTAGTAACTGTTCCCCAAACTGTGTACATCTCCACTACAACAATTGGCCAATTGAAAGCTATCTCTGCAACATGCATGTAATTACTCCTGCCATTCAGATTTATGTATCTGAGTTAGAATTCATTTTTGCTTTTATTGAATCAAAGTCAAAAAGAGGCATTTCCAGTGGAGGTAATTCAAGTGAAGGCAAGTCTGACAAATTCATGTGTGGTGGAATCGAGTAAAACCGTTCTTCTTCATCATTTTCATCATCAACATATACAGGTTTGATGTGATTATTTGTTTTTAACTCCTCATTTTCTTTTTTTATGTTATTCAATTCCTCGTGCAAATTTGCGTTTTCTCCTAAAAGCTGTTCTATGTGTGACCTTAAAGCCAGATTGTGAGTCTTTAATTCTTCAATAATCATTTTGTCATCTTTGGGAGCCTTTACTGCAGTCTGAATGAGGTGTCTGTTTGGCCATGGTCTTGGTGAATCCATACCCAAAGATATAGCACGGTTATGTAAAAAGAACAGTAAAGAATCTGTTTCCTCCATGGTCTTAAATGTTTCTTCCTCCATCTGGCCACCAGTAACATCTGTTGGCATGTCTGAATACCCTGACATCTGTGGTAGATTGTCAGACAGAGATGCAATGTTAGTTATAGTAGTATCATTGGAATCCATCTGCTGCTGCTTCTGCAACTGTGCCTTTCTTTGCTTTGCTCTGATGACAGCCTTTTGCTTGATATGGTGGTCATGCTGTAGCTGAAGGGATTCTAGAGCCTTTTCTACCCTTGTAAGGGACTGAGCCTTAAGGAGATACTCTAAAAATGTCACAATATATTTATTTTATATTATGTAATGTAACACAAGCAAAAATAGTCACATAAATCTATACTTTAAGCAATCAGAGAGGTCTGATTAAAGGTTTACCTGCGAGCAAAGTTTATGAATAGTGTAACAAAAGTGTTTCTTAACTTAAAAAAAAAAAGGCATAAAATGTCCTTTCATTTCATCTGATATTTTTCACCTGCTGCTTGCTGATGGCACTCTACAGCTTCATCAAATTTTCCAGATCTTAGAAGAGCTTCTGCCTTTCTTTCTTGTCGATGGGCCTAAAATTAAAGACAATCTAAGTAAATCTTGGAAGTAGAGTCTCGACTAAAATGTAAAATGCCTTAAAACCTTACATGCAATCAATCATCAGTATTTAAAACAGATAAACATATAAATGCAGACGGGTGATATTTGCACAATGTCGATTTTTGTATTCAGGTGTACAGTGGTATGCTACTAGTAGCTCCCAAATCCAGAGTAACTCTAAATAAAAGTTGAACAGGACAATATACATGCCAACCTGTGATGTGTGTGTATGTGTGTGTGTGTGCATGCATGCTTGGTTTGAACTTAATAAGATTCATTTTACCATTTCATTTTGAATTTTTATTGCATAGAAACTGTATTTGTATTTCACAAGCCACAAATATAATAGGATATGGTGATTTTCTAACACCAACTTATGACTATGTAAAAAAAAAATAAATAAATACCGATAATCTTTATACTGTACATTATGGTGGTCTAATGTGGTTTCATAAGAGTCGTTATTTTATTATTATTTTTTTATTATCTATCAGCAGATGAAAGGATTTTATAACATCTGCTTTTGAATACGAAAAAAAAAATGTGTGATATCAATGCTAGACTAATTTTACGGTTACAGATTTATTTAAGGGACAAAAAGCGTGTGGTTTTTAATACGTTTTACTTAAAAATACATTAACCACTTTTTACTGAACTTCACTAACAATAAGTACCGGTAGTACAGTACAATACATGTTACTTCACTACTATTACTAATTTATAAATATAATGACAGCACAGCAGCGAAAGATAGAGGAAGATGGCGGAGGATGCTGACAAGCCTTAGAGTTAGTAATGACTTGTAGTAGTTTCGAGAGGTACATCTATGTCCACGTCAATATCAACAGACGAGAATATGTGTTGTTTTTAAATAATGTCCGATTAAAATCATGCAGTGAAGCAATATTTCATCAACAGAAAACATATTCTTTAATTCACCTTGTTTAGCGGCGAATCCATCATTTCTCATATGGCAGCGGTCTGATTGTGTGTTTATCAGTGCTTCGTCAAAATCAAAATAGGAAATAAAATACTGCTAACACTGTCCAGTGAGGAAATACACATTTCAGTTTCACGTCGGACTTCTACAACCTAGTTGTATCATTGGATGAAAAAAATCTACTTCCAGTTTCAATACTTATGTGAAAATAACTCTATCCATCAAAAAAGGTGAGGAGTTACACAGAGATTTTTTTATTGAGATTGTTGTCACGCACGCCCTTATTTATGAATTTTTGAAATATATTTACCGCTATATATACCGCCTATCCTATCTGCCTGCATATTTGTCACGTGACAGTGTTTAGCAGACAGCCCTTTTAAGCAGCCTGCAGACTGAAGCTGTAACTAAGCACGGGAACACGTCCTTGTATTTGCAATTCTACTCGCTGCCTATTCAAGCTGTTCAGTATGTCACTGCTCGTTCCAGTTGCTTTTCTTTTGTTTTTCTCCAGCTCTACCATTTTTGGAATGAGCTCAGCCGAAGTCGAAAGAAGTGAATTATGTTCGAAGGAAGTGCCGCCCGATCCTTGCACACTCCCAGAACTCAAGCTTGATGAAAGGTTTGGATCATGCGGTGAAAAAATAGAACTTAGTGTTACTAAAGACAAACCTGAGACCGTCAAATTTCCAGATGTTGGTGAGGTAATATTATCAGTATTTTTAATTCAAATTAATCAAGTTTTTATTGCAACGTTTTTGCCCTTTGGAAGTTTGTAACGTCACACCAAATAATATTTTACGTGTACTTTGTCTTTTTATAATATGGAAAAAGTTTTTTTTCGTTTAAAAACGTGACATTTTTGAAGAAAATTAACGTTATTTGCATCTGTTCTTGCCATTGGCCAAGGTAGTGTTAGAAAGTGAAATAAGTACAAATCTTTTAATTTGCAAGGTACTGGAGTGTTGAAATAATTTAGATCTATGCCAGCATTTTGCAAAGTGAAGTAACCAGTTGCAGTTAAACCAGAAAACTAGCCATACATTTTTTACATATCGTTTGTGTTTAATTAGGATAAGACTTATATAAGTTTCAAGTAAAATTCTTTCCTATTTAATAAGATTTTTTAATTATTTTATAGTTCCTCTGTCCTCACCAGTGCAGTTTATATCAGCCCTTTTTACTTTGTATTATCACATGAACTGACATGTTATTTAGCCATTTGTGATGGGGTATAAATCCTGTCTCCTTGGTTGGGAGAAAAGACCATTACTAACGTGAAAGGCCAAAAATCAGATTTAATCAGTGGCTTGTCTGTTTTATTTGATTTGTGAAATAACCCCTACACACACACACATAAAAGAAAGCCTAAGCAAACATTGGGGTTACATGTGGATTTATCTGGGAGTTTCGTGTGAATAAGTTGTGAAGTGATTAAAATCTGCTTTAATGTCTTGATCTATTTGTTTTGACTATATATATAAGCTAAACAGACATATAATTATGTAACAAAAGTAAAATGCCTCAGAAGAGATCATGCATAGCTGCTAAGCAAGAAACCACATTTGAATAAATCATACCATTATGTATAAAACCAGTCAAAAAAGAAACATATTTGTCAATATTTAATTTACTTGCAAGGTGTGTCTTTAGTGAAACATCCTACGCAACATGAAGGGAATATAATAAGATATTTCATTTGATTAAAAAAAGGATTAAAACTGATTAAAAACTTTTTTTATCAGGATGAGAGGTATGTGCTTGTTATGGTGGATCCTGATGTTCCTTTCTACAACGATCCAGTAACTCAGCTGTGGAGACACTGGGTGGTTGCTGGAATTTCGGTAAGAATATCATCATTTATAAGTATTAGCACTTATTCAAATGTGTCAACAACAAATTTAGGTAGTCAGTTACCTTGAACTTATCCAACTTGCGCTCCAAATACTCTTTAGATATGTGGGTCGGAACCATTTACTATTTGTCTTAAAGGGATGACAACTATTAATTTTGGCTGGAAAGTGCCATAAAACTAATTTTCCTGGGATAAACAAGGATGTTCTCATACTTCATATTTGTTAATGAATCTATCCCGACATTTAGTCAATTATAATTTTTTTTTTTGTAATAATCTCTTAAGAAATTACTATGGAGTTTTGCCATCTATGAAGGTCCAGCTGATCTAATGGCAGGCACAGATTTCAGAATATTGCAGTATATAACTGCTGTTTTGGGTGTAAAATGAAATTTATTATTATTTCTATGTTGTTTACAGTGTATTTATTGTGGCATTTTTAATCTCATATGAACATCCCTTTAAGAGGGATGAAAATGGTTTTCATGCCTTGTACATAGAAAGTATGTGAACATGCATATAACAAATATAAGCCTTGTTGACAGTTGATGGTTTAAAAACAAGATGGTATTTAACTGTTATTTTATTTTTGTCTGAGCATAAGCATAAGATATCAGAATTGATATTTGGGAAGCACAAGCCACTTATTAGTACAACCCTTGCCCTGTACAAAAAAAATGTGTGTTTGTATGTGTGTGTGTGTGTGTGTGAAAACCATTTTCACATACATATTTGAAAACATACTTACTAATGGATCTAAATAAATTTTCCATGTTTTCTTAACCGAAACCTTCAAATATACACAATTACTGTAAGTAATATGTATAATCCACAATATCTTTTTGGTGTAATTTTAGTAACATTAATGAATTACTTTCCATTAAAAGAACTGATAAGGAAAGTCATCAGCTGAAGTTAAGTGCTTGTTTGACATTTTAGAACCTTAAATTAAGCAACATCAGCTAATGGGTTTATTTTATTTTCAGTTGTAATCAACTTGTAATTTGTCATGATAATTAAGAATTTAACATGAGCTCATGTTTGGCTACAATTCTAGGATTCTAGTGTTTGGTTACACTTTAATTTATGACTTATGACAGTCAGTATATTTTCCATATAGTGTCATACTTTAGGAAAATAACATGTATGTTTTGAAACTTTCATGACAAAAGGTAAGCTGAGAAGTCATCTTTTTGATATTTTAAAAGTTTGAATTGAAATTGTACATTAAAGTAGACATTCAAATTTTATGGATGTATTATTTACACAGTAATGCAGTCCCAATTTTATAGATTGCTTCACAAAGCTGTGGATGCACCATACAGCCAGGGTTGTATATAATTGTTTTAGTTGTACTAAAAGTAGTAGTGGTTGCAACTACCACATTCTCGAACTTCTAACATAAATATGTAGATTATATTGATTCTCCAATTAACATTTTACATTGTATTTCTTTAAAAGGATTTAAGACATTTAGATCATATTAAATTGGTTTGAGCCTTTGTAAAATATGTACTGAATATGGCTTTATTCTTTTTTCTCTGTCATCTTCATTATAATACTTTAACTTGACATAATTGTGTTTCATGTATATGCCGCATATATATAAGTGCTAGTACATGATTAAAACTGAGACAATCATTTCACATTGATAATGTTCTTAGGTTCTCTGGTCCATCAACTTTTAAATTTTTGTTACATTTTTAGTATTGTTGAATCATTCATTACATTTTGAAGCTGCATGTGCCAGAATTCTGACACTTAGTATAGTCAGTTTAGGTTCAAAAGGATGATTAAAGTATGTAGGTAACTTGGTGAACGATTACATCAGGGCTTTAATGTACAGTAAAATTTAGTTTTGATTTTTCAAAGAGGTGCAGTCAATAAGACATTTGTCTTCACCAATAACAGGTTACAAAATTAAAAGATGTTTTGCTTTTCTCAAAAAAGAAAACATTCTTTGCTCAGTGAAACACTTTTAAACCATGTGAAAATCTGTACAGAAGTAATGTTTCACATAATTATAAAGAAGTGCTCTACTTTTATCACTGTTGAAGGTTTTAATTATCCAGAGGTGTTAATAAATAAATGTTGAGGATGTTATGTAGTCCCATGTAACCATTTCGACATTAGTAGGTGATTGCTCAGCAGACATATTTTTCAATCAATTACTCAACAGTACTACCACTTCCCACTTTGCATTTTCACAGTGATTTTAATTTTATAAAACTCACTGCCCACTATTTTTAGCCCTAATTGTTGCCATCGTTTTATGACATGACTTATCACATTTCCACATTGGGGAACCATCTACAGATTATGTATGAAAGCAACCAAGACCAGACAAACCATCTCATTGGATTGTAGACAGTTCAACTATCACATTGTGTTTGCAGTCTACCACTGCGTGAGCTGTCAGATACTGGCCTGAAATGCAGTCTTATCACCTGAGAGGGCAGTGACATCACTTTCACACTTTTCTATCATAAGGTGAAAATTGTCTTATAAGAAATCATTTATTTGAGATGTTTGCTGACACAGTGTGCTCTGTGCTTCAATTTTGGTGACATAAGTTGCAAAAATGATAACAACTGACTATATTTGCATGCATCATATTTTCAATCTTATATGGTAATTACTAAATCTTTTTAATGGGAGGAAAATATACAAATTTTACAGATTTTTCTGTATTTTTTTAAGTCATAAATTCTTGAAATTAGAACATTTCTTTTGAGTACTAGCAGCAACAAAATTAAAACCAGGCCACCTTGTTTTTCTAAGCTTTACAGTAAAAGCACCAAAAATGCTACAGACAAAAATCTTTTAATGATTCCAAAATTATATATTTGAAAGATTGATGATTTTTCCCCATTGAATAGATCCAGTAATTACTGTAGTTACATACACATACTATCAAAAGAAAAAAGACCCATTCTGTGACGTCACATTTGTTTATTGGAATCTAAAACATTTTTGAAAAATTGAAGGATAGGGTTTATTTAATAAAAACATTTTATCATCAAATATTGTCACAATACCTTTATTTAAGAGAGATTAACAAAATTGAAAAAAAGGTGACAAATTTATTTAAATGTTAGCAGTGACATCTGCAGCCTTTTGAAAATTGTATGCACAGTTCTTGACTTAAGATACATAAATTTACCAAAAAAAAAAAAGAGTAAAATGCAATTTTTTAGCATCTAATATTTTCATTTTTGTCTGAACATCCAGTCAGGGGCCTTATCAAATAATCATAACATCCAGTGATGTTGCAGCCTGGTGATGAGTATTATTGTCATTGGTTCATCAGCAGAGTGACATTGTCTCTGGTTGTGTGTCAGCTGAGAGGCTGTTACTGCTACTACTAATAACATTGATGTGTATGCTTGATAAAAGGAGGAGGTAATTACAGGTGCTTACNAATCCTAAACAAAGTGAATGATTGAATGACAAAATGCAATGATATCGATGTCTGTACATAAAAACCAATCAATCAAATATTAAGAAAATCTCAACTTTTAGAAAGGTCCACTATACACTCTTGACTAAAAAACATTCAATCACTGAGCATTCACCCTTATGCTGGGAGTACATAAGGTGCCACAGTTGTTGAATAATGATTCAATGTTAGGAATGTACTAGTAACTGTTCCCCAAATTGTGTACATCTCCACTACAACAATTGGCCAATTGAAAGCTATCTCTGCAACATGCATGTGATTACTCCTGCCATTCAGATTTATGTATCTGAGTTAGAATTCATTTTTGCCTTTATTGAATCAAAGTCAAAAAGAGGCATTTCCAGTGGAGGTAATTCAAGCGAAGGCAAGTCTGACAAATTCATGTGTGGTGGAATCGAGTAAAACCGTTCTTCTTCATCATTTTCATCATCAACGTATACAGGTTTGATGTGATTATTTGTTTTTAACTCCTCATTTTCTTTTTTAATCTTATTCAATTCCTCATGCAAATTTGCATTTTCTCCTAAAAGCTGTTCTATGTGTGACCTTAAAGCCAGATTGTGAGTCTTTAATTCTTCAATAATCATTTTGTCATCTTTGGGAGCCTTTACTGCAGTCTGAATGAGGTGTCTATTTGGCCATGGTCTTGGTGAATCCATACCCAAAGATATAGCACGGTTATGTAAAAAGAACAGTAAAGAATCTGTTTCCTCCATGGTCTTAAATGTTTCTTCCTCCATCTGGCCATCAGTAACATCTGTTGGCATGTCTGAATACCCTGATATCTGTGGTAGATTGTCAGACAGAGATGCAATGTTAGTTATAGTAGTATCATTGGAATCCATCTGCTGTTGCTTCTGCAACTGTGCCTTTCTTTGCTTTGCTCTGATGACAGCCTTTTGCTTGATATGGTGGTCATGCTGTAGCTGAAGGGATTCTAGAGCCTTTTCTACCCTTGTAAGGGACTGAGCCTTAAGGAGATACTCTAAAAATGTCACAATATATTTATTTTATATATTGTAATGTAACACAAGCAAAAATAGTCAAATAAATCTATACTTTAAGCAATCAGAGAGGTCTGATTAAAGGTTTACCTGTGAGCAAAACTTATGAACAGTGTAACAAAAGTGTTTCTTAACTTAAAAAAAAAAAAAAGGCAAAAAAATGTCCTTTCATTTCATCTGATATTTTTCACCTGCTGCTTGCTGATGGCACTCTACAGCTTCATCAAATTTTCCAGATCTTAGAAGAGCTTCTGCCTTTCTTTCTTGTTGATGGGCCTAAAATTAAAGACAATCTAAGTAAATCTTGGAAGTAGAGTCTCGACTAAAATGTAAAATGCCTTAAAACCTTACATGCAATCAATCATCAGTATTTAAAACAGATAAACATATAAATGCAGACGGGTGATATTTGCACAATGTCGATTTTTGTATTCAGGTGTACAGTGGTATGCTACTAGTAGCTCCCAAATCCAGAGTAACTCTAAGTAAAAGTTGAACAGGTCAATATACATGCTAACCTGTGATGTGTGTGTATGTGTGTGTGTGCATGCATGCTTGGTTTGAACTTAATAAGATTCATTTTACCATTTCATTTTGAATTTTTATTGCATAGAGACTGTATTTGTATTTCACAAGCCACAAATATAATAGGATATGGTGATTTTCTAACACCAACTTATGACTATGTAAAAAAAAAAAAAAATACCGATAATCTTTATACTGTACATTATGGTGGTCTAATGTGGTTTCATAAGAGTCGTTATTTTATTATTATTATTTTATTATTTATCAGCAGATGAAAGGATTTTATAACATCTGCTTTTGTATACGAAAAAAAAAAATGTGTGACATCATTACTAGACTAATTTTATGGTTACAGATTTATTTAAGGGACAAAAAGCGTGTGGTTTTTAATACGTTTTACTTAAAAATACATTAACCACTTTTTACTGAACTTCACTAACAATAAGTACCGGTAGTACAGTGCAATACATATTACTTCACTACTATTACTAATTTATAAATATAATGACAGCACAGCAGCGAAAGATAGAGGAAGATGGCGGAGGATGCTGACAAGCCTTAGAGTTAGTAATGACTTGTAGTAGTTTCGAGAGGTACATCTAAGTCCACGTCAATATCAACAGACGAGAATATGTGTTGTTTTTAAATAATGTCCGATTAAAATCATGCAGTGAAGCAATATTTCATCAACAGAAAATATATTCTTTAATTCACCTTGTTTAGCGGCGAATCCATCATTTCTCATATGGCAGCGGTCTGATTGTGTGTTTACCAGTGCTTCGTCAAAATCAAAATAGGAAATAAAATACTAGTGTCGGGAGAGGAAATACACATTTCAGTTTCACGTCGGACTTCTACAACCTAGTTGTATCATTGGATGAAAAAAATCTACTTCCAGTTTCAATACTTATGTGAAAATAACTCTATCCATCAAAAAAGGTGAGGAGTTACACAGAGATTTTTTTATTGAGATTGTTGTCACGCACGCCCTTATTTATGAATTTTTGAAATATATTTCTTACCGCCTATCCTATCTGCCCGCATATTTGTCACGTGACAGTGTTTAGCAGACAGCCCTTTTAAGCAGCCTGCAGACTGAAGCTGTAACTAAGCACGGGAACACGTCCTTGTATTTGCAATTCTACTCGCTGCCTATTCAAGCTGTTCAGTATGTCACTGCTCGTTCCAGTTGCTTTTCTTTTGTTTTTCTCCAGCTCTACCATTTTTGGAATGGGCTCAGACGAAGTCGAAAGAAGTGAATTATGTTCGAAGGAAGTGCCGCCCGATCCTTGCACACTCCCAGAACTCAAGCTTGATGAAAGGTTTGGCGCATGCGGTGAAAAAATAGAACTTGGTGTTACTAAAGACAAACCTGAGACCGTCAAATTTCCAGATGTTGGTGAGGTAATATTATCAGTATTTTTAATTCAAGTTAAATAATTTTTTATTGCATCGTTTTTGCCCGTTGGGAATTTGTAACGTCACACAAAATAATATTTTACGTGTACTTTGTCTTTTTGTAATATGGAAAATATTTTTTCGTTTAAAAACGTGACATTTTTGAAGAAAATTATCATTATTTGCATCTGTTTTTGTCATTGGCCAAGTGAAATAAGTACAAATCTCATAATTTGCATGATACCAGAGTGTTGAAATAATTTAGATCTGTGGGTGCCAGTGNTGCTTTCCCAGAGATTTAGATCGATCTATCCCCGCGGGGAGTCTCACTAGATTACTGTCAGGTAATCCAGCTGAAATGTCCGTCCCGCCTACTACAAGCTGTAAGGGGGTAATTAACTTTCGTGTCCGCTCGGTTGACAGCTATTTATTGTGAACCCCCAGGGAGTTAGGTCGATCTAAAGTAGATCGATCTAATCTCTGGAAATGGGGTCTTAGATCGACATAACTCTCTGGGGGTTTACGCTAAATTGCAGTCAGCCGAGCGGGCACCATAGTTAATTACCCCCTTACAGCTTTTAGTAGGTGGGACAGACGCTTAAGCCGGCCAAGCTGACAGTAATCTAGTGAGACTCCCCACAGGGATAGATCGATCTAAAAATCTATGGAAATGGGGTGTATGCCAGCATTTTGCAAAGTTAAGTAACCAGTTGCAGTTAAACCAGAAAACTAGTCATACATTTTTTACTTATCCTTTGTGTTTAATTAGGATAAGACTAATAAAATTTCAAGTAAAATTGTTTCCTATTTAATAAGATTTTTGAATTATTTTATAGTTCCTCTGCCCATACCAGGGCAGCTTATATCTGCACCTTTTATTTTCAACAAAAGAAGAAAATAGGATACTTCCTCTGCTTTATATTCATAAATGACATCTTTCATTCTATTGAAAATTGTAACCTCTGCAACTATGCAGATGATAACACCTTAAGTGCTGCACACCCAGACTTTGATACCTTAAAAAGGTAGCTCGAATACGATGCACAAAATGCTATAAATTGGTTTTCCTCAAACGAGATGGAAGCGAACCCTGAAAAATTCCAAGCTATATTTATTGGCAAAACAGGAGTCAACCATAGTGAAGAGCAATTATCTTTCAATGGAAAATTAGTGAAACCAGAACCCTGGGTCAAGCTCCTTGGGGTTTACTTTGACTCAAGACTGACTTTCAACAAACACATCTCAGAATTATGTTCAAAAACAGCATGTCAATTAAACACTCTGAAAAGGCTTTCAGCTCATCTAGATGTCCCAAGTCGGCTTGCCATTTTCAGGCACTTTGCATTATCAAACTTTCATAATTGTCCGTTAGTATGGCATTTTTGTGGCGAGGGAAATATGAAAAAATTAGAAAAGATACAGGAAAGGGGTCTAAGATTTGTCTACGACAACCACACAAGCAGTTACGACGAGCTTTTAAATATGTCAGGCCTCAGCACTCTGCACTTGAACAGGCTACATATGCTTGCACTTGAGGTTTACAAAGCTATACATGGACTTGCACCTTCCTACCTCTCCGACCTTTTCCAGGAAAGAATAACAAGTTACAACCTTAGAGGAGAAAAGACTCTTAATATACCCAGATTTAACACAGTGACATACGGCAAAAAAATCCTTATCATATCTTGGGCCACAAATATGGAATGATCTCTCAAATGACTTAAAGCAAAGCATCAATTCAAATGAGTTTAAATCACTTTTAAGGCTTTGGGAAGGACCCAAATGCAGATGTAACCTGTGTAACCTATATGCTTTTAGTGAAACTGTGTAATAATACGTCATGCTTACATCATTTTATATAACTGTATCAGTGAGCATTGTATGTAGAATTCTGTTTTTCACAATTGATTTAGAATAGCATTCTGCACATTTCCCATAAAAAACTTTTTTCTAATTTGCTATCTTAATAGAATTCATGTTTTTGTATATTGTTTGTAGAAAGTTTTTTTGTCTTTTGGTATACTCTTTGTAGAAAGTTTTTTGTCTTTTGGTATACTCTGTAGAAAGATTTTCTTTTTACTCTTACTAGACTTCATGTGTAATATTGCATTATTGTAGATATGTTTTTGTCCTCACCCAGTCGGCGAATAGCTGTAAAGCTAATGTTTCCTTTCAATTTATACCCGACATGAAATAAAATTTATTGCATTGTATTGTACTTTGTATTATCACATGAACTGACATGTTATTGAGCCATTTGTGATGGGGTATAAATCCTGTCTCCTTGGTTGGAAGAAAAGACCATTACTAAAATGAAAGGCTAAAAATCAGATTTATCAGTGGCTTGTCAGATAAGTTTTATTTGATTTGTTAAATAGCCCCTACACACACACATAAAAGAAAGCCTTAAGCAAACATTGGGTAACATGTGGATTTATTTGGGAGTTTTGTGTGACTCAGTTGTGAAGTGATTAAAAATCTGCTTTAATGTCTTGAACTATTTGTTTTGACTATATATAAGCTGAACAGACATATAATTATGTAACAAAAGTAAAATGCCTCAGAAGAGATCATACATAACTGCTTAGCAAGAAACCACATTTGAATAAATCATTCCATTTTGTATAAAACCAGTATAAAGGGAAATAAATTTGTCAATAATTAATTTACTTGCAAGGTTGGTTTTTAGTATTGAAACATCCTACGCAACATGAAGGGAGTATAATAAGATATTTCATTTGATTAAAAAAAGGATTAAAACTGATTTTTAATTTTTCTGATTTTTTAAAAAACTCTTTTATCAGGATGAGCAGTATGTGCTTGTTATGGTGGATCCTGATGTTCCTTCCTACAACAATCCAGTAACTCAGCTGTGGAAACACTGGGTGGTTGCTGGAATTTCAGTAAGTATTTCATCATTTATAAGTACTGGCACCTATTCAAAGGTGTCAACAACAATTTTAGGTAGTCAACTACCTTGAACTTATCCAACTTGCGCTCCAAATACTCTTTTGATATGTGGGTCAGAAGCATTTGTCTTAAAGGGCTAACAACCCTTAATTTTGGCTGGAAAGTGCCATAAAACGAATTTTCCTGGGATAAAGAAGGATGTTTTTATAATTCATTTTTGTAAATGAATCTGTCCCGATATTTAAAGTTAGTCAATTATTATTAATTTTTTTTTGTAATAATCTCTTGAAAAATTGTTATGGAGTGCAGCCATCTATGAAGGTCCAGCTGATCCAATGGCCAGCACAGATTTCAGAATATTGCGGAAACTGCTGTTTTGGTGGTAAAATGGAATTTATTATTACTATTTCTATATGTTGTTTACAGCATATTTATTGTGGTATTTTTAATCTCATATGAAGAGTTGTTATCCCTTTAAGAGGGATGAAAATGGTTTTCACGCCTTGTACGTAGAAAGTATATGAACATGCATTTAACAGATATAAGCCTTGCTGCCAGTTGTAGGTTTAAAAAGCAAGATGATATTTAACTGTTATTTTATTTTTGTTTGAGCATAAGCATAAGTTATCAGAATTGATATTTGGGAAGCACAAGTCACTTACTAGTACAACCCTTGCCCTTAGTAGCTGATATAAATAAATTTTCTATGTTATCTTAACCAAAACCTTCAAATATACACAAGTAAGTAACATGTATAATTCACAATATCTTTTTGGTGTAATTTTAGTAACATTAATGAGTACATTTCCATTAAAAGAACTGATAAGGAAAGTCATCAGATGAAGTTAAGTGCTTGTTTGACATGTTAAATTCTTAAATTAAGAGATTTGGTATCTCATCAGCTAATGGGTTTATTTTTATTTTCAGTTGTAATCAACTTGTAATTTGTCATAATAAGGGTTTAACGTGAACTCATGTTTCACAGTTTGGCTACAATTTCTAGGATTCTGTAGTGTTTGGTTACACTTAATCTTTTGTCAGTTCTTTGATAAAAAGTGATGAAAGGAAATTAAATTGAAATGAAGGCAATCAATTATGTGAATAATGAATTTTTATTTTGAGGACTTGTTTCAAAATTATTTTTGTAACCATTTTAGTTGAACTCTGTTGGTAAAGGATTCTTGATTGTGTGACAGTTTGTTTAACATGCTTTTTTTTAAAGATATTAAGTCATGCTTGTATTCTGCTTGCTTATGGTAACAATAAAGATCAATCTGTCAATTATCTAAATAAAATTATTACAGTCAGCATATTTTCCATATAGTGTCATACTTTAGGAAAATAACGTGTGTTTTGAAACTTACGTGACAAAAGGTAAGCTGAGAAATCATCTTTTTGACATTTGAAGAGTTTGAATTGAAATTGTACATTGAAGTAAACAATCAAATTTTATGGATGTTTTATTTAGAGAGTAATGAAGTACCAATTTTATAGATTACCTCACAAAGCTGTGGATGTACCATACAGCCAGGGTTCTATAATTGTTTTTGTTGTACTAAAAGTAGGAGTGGGTGCAACTACCACATTCTCAAACTTTTAACATCAAAATGTTTGTAGATTATATTGATTCTCC